TAATTGACTGAATTTATTAGAAAATTGGGCCTATTAACACATGAATACTGTGTAACATATATATTTAGGAAGTACAATATAAGACAAGCAGAAGTTTATTATACTTAAGTCATTATACTTTTTTACTTTGCTGAGTGAGGGACGATTAAAAATGGTCCGCATTTGGCCCCCGGGCCCTAGTTTGGACACCCCTGCTCTATAGTAAGGCATGTACTGCACAAGGTTAGATCATTTAGACTCACGGGGCAAAGCACAGTCTAGGAACTCCAGCTGGTCCACTGCCACATCTCCTCTGAGCCCCTCGGAGCGCTGCGAGTGAAGACGGATTTGGAAAGATGTGGGAATACGGCCCAGAAAGATGGTCGCCTCCCTCCAGCCATGCACACTGGTGGCCTCCGGACGCCACACTACAGCATCCTGGGAGTCCTGGTGAAGGATGGACGCCCACAAGGGAATAGAGCCCAGACCTGAGTGACCTATGGGTTAAATATTTTATTAGTAAGACAGCTGCTAGAGAAATTAAATCTCAGTGTGCACAACAATTAATAAGTCAGATAGCAATAATTGTGTAGTCGGAGGTCCGGGCGTAGAATCAGTCGAATTAAGAGGTATTAATTACATTACAAGACATAAAGTAAAAATTAAATATGGAAGCCCTGAGAGTAAAAGTGGTCTGATCAAAATTGCACAGGTAAAAAAGTATTCGTTTTGCCAAAAGAATCCTTCGTAGAGTTCCTAAATTGTATGCCATTTTACATGTTTCTTCTTCTGTGATTGCAGATGAGTTATTGTTTTTGTCAGGATAAGTATTTGTTGTTCTTATCATTTCGGCCACAAAACGGACCAAGAACATTAATGTTTCATTTTAGAAAACCTATCCTGGCAAAAACATGTCTTCACTTGTTTTTAGTTCATAACAATAAATCCATAAAACCATTAAGATCAGACTTGATAAATTAATCAACTGGTTTTTTCCCCTTGCCTCTCATGGGCTTCCGCAGTTAAATGACAACAGATGCACATAAAATACATACAAACGCTGTGAGTAAAAGGAGTAAAATCGATATGAAATCCCATCATATTTTTTTTTAGATTTAACCCGTAGTTATTAATAGTTGTTACCTGAGTCCCACAGGAAGTATCTGAGCCGAAGACGACATGTTTGTGAAGACTGCTTCATCTCTGGAGAGATTAACACTGCAGTGCTGAGAGACTCTGTCGTCACCGCACTCACCCCCATAAACCAACCTGTGGGAATATGAAACGTACAGGGCACTGTTTTAATAATAATAATAATAATCAGACATCATACATTTCCCTCAGCTCTATAAATGGCTGATGTAAATTAAAGTGCTGGGAAGATATTGTTGTTAAACTCACAGGGCAGAGAGTGGTGTATACTGTATACAATCCAATCCAATCAAATCCAACTTTATTTATATAGCACATTTAAAAACAGCAGAGTTGACCAAAGTGCTGTACATCAATAAATATATAAAAAGCAGCATAAATACATTTAGACAAAACCGATAGGACAAAAATAAACTAATGTAAAAGACAATAAAACCATATTTATAGCCACAGACAAAACCCTCATACATGATGTAAAAACATTTTAAAACAAAACTACATAGAAAACCCCAACTTAGAAAACACAGACTGATACGTCTTATACGTGGTCTGTAAAAGCACGGGAGAACAAGTAGGTCTTTGAACGAGATTTAAAAACAGGCAAAGTGGGAGCAAGTCTGATCATATACAACATGAGGTTAGTATTTAACTTTACCTGTAGCTGTCCCGGTGGTGTAGTCAGAGGACGGCCCGCTGACAGGCAGCTCCCCCCCCCCCTCTCTGACGTCTCTCCCAGCTGTACACTGATGCTTTCAAGGACTCTTCAGTCCATCCACACATCCCCACTTCCTCAAAGTCACACCCAAACGCTGCTCCACTGTAGCCTGGAGAGGTAGGTTTAAATGTTTTGTAATTGACAGAAGATGTTTGTTATTGATTTCAGCAGACAATTCTCAGATTAAATAAGTGCATTAAATTCACATAAATGTAAATCAAAAATCATGAGATCAGGTGTTGGCCCCTGAAGATACTCTCGATAAGTAAAAATGAGAATATGTTAAAATAAACATCTGTGGATTGAGCTCAGAGCAGAATATATGTATTAGCTTACCACAGTCTTGTTCATCGCTGCAGCCTTCACAGTCGCACACGAAGTCACATTTCACCTCAGGAGTCACACATGGATCAGCCACAAAGCAATTCACTGTGTAATGACATCAAATACAAATAAAAGTCGTTTTTTTCTGAATAGTGGTGTCCTTTTAGTGTGTGAGAATAGATATATACATTAAAATATACTGTTGTAATAACAGATGGTCTGGGAGGTGTGACTTTTTATGAGCATATCTAATTTGGAAAATACAATCTTTACTCAACTTCCACTTCTCTTTAAAGCTTTTGATCGTATAACACAGTGTTCTATTTATTTATACTCCTGCAACCTTATGGACTTTCGGACTAAAAACATATCTTTAAGGTCAAGGCTTATCTCCGTATTAAAACCACAATAAAAAACATACCAATTGGCCAACATCACAAGCTGAGTGGAGATTTGTTCTGTGGACTTCATTAGAAATCAACCATCAGACCCAACAGAATTTATGAGCATGAGAAAAGTACAGGTCATTTTATTTAGAAAATTAGAAAATTAGTGTTATTTAATATTGTAGTTATTGCCTGTACAGCACTTTGGTCAACTGAAGGTGGTTTTAAATGTGCTACATAAATAAATAAATAAAGATTGAAAGATTGAGATTGAGAACATCTTGCGCAGGATTCAACCCCAAACTCCGTTATCAGGCCTCATAACTGTCAAAGCTTTATGGCGACATTAATGGTGACAGGCTCAAATGACATCCGTCCATCCAAAGGTCTCTGATTAACACCCAAGGTTTTACGGTTCATAATGAGGTCATTTCCAGTTGTCGAATACAGAGCTAAAAGCAGTGGCATGATAGCAGAGTTTGTGTTGACACTGATCAAATACAAATATACTTTTTTTAATGTACCGGTATTTATATTGTTTGATGTTTCCTTTTAATAAGAATAAAAGGTTAATGTTGAGAATTATTATAATTGTAATTATATATATATATATATATTTATAGTTAATGAATTATGTTGTTCTCAATTATTCTATAATCTAAGTCTTTATTCATTCTTTACTTGTTTTAATTAATGTAATATCATTCTGTTTTTGGTAATATATTAGTTTTTGTATTTTACATAAAAACTGTGATTGGGGCTATTTATTTTGATATGGTTATACAGTATATTGATATGTGTATATTGATATTTGTCAATTTATTGTAAGAATGCAAAGAAATTCAGAAGATTTATCAATTTTAACGTGGTAAAAATAGTCACTACAGCCCTGCATATGAGGGGGTCAGCACTAAGGGGTGTGAGGATTTTTTTCAAAATGTTCTAAGGTCATATAATGTGTTTATAATACATTTTATTGCTCAAATACATACACTCACTCCTGTCAAAATTGTCATTGAAACTCATTAATTGTATCACTTTCTTATCCCACGGCCATTATAGCATACATTTTATATCAGGCTTTACATTTAGGGTCCTAGAATCAAAATTGTACTTTTTACTTATTTATTTTTCAATATTTTACAATTATTTAATTATTTGCCTTATTGGGCAAATATATATTTTCTTGTTTTGTTTACAAAAAAATTAAAAAGCATCAAAAAATGTATGCTGATCATACTGTAGATATATCCTGGACTCTAGCATTTAGTACACAACAAATATTATGTTTGTGTTTTATTTAGTTTTATCCCATAAAATTATTGAAATTCTGAAAATGAGTTAACATTTGGTACCGATAACCAGGACTGTATATTTAAAAAAGTAAAACAGTGAAAGTGGAAAAATTATATTTATTTATCATTTTATTTAAGATTTTGGATGTGGCATACATTTGTATCCTCATCAGATTTTGTGTATTTAGCATTGTTCATTCACAAGTTCATTCTTGACTTTTGAATGAATTCGATTCGGTGGTTTAGTTTCATTAGCTTTAGAAGTTTAAATATAATTGAGGTTTGTCAACTTTTTAGGGCTTGTTCTAAGTGTTTTAACATTAGTACTCATGTACACCATACTTCTCTCTCAAACCAAAAGCTAAGATAGACCCAGCCACCAGCAGCTCCTTTAAGTCTACATGAAGTGTTACTTAAACTTAGTGTGAATTGTGTGAATGTGTTCTTACCAATCTGCAGAGTCAGCAGCAGAACGAGGGCCGGGCTCCTCCAGAGGAACATCTTCTTTTCCCTTCTCTTCACCTGACCAGTCTGGAGGTCTGAAGGCAGGAGTCTTTGAGAGTTCACTCTGACCTCTTCTCCCATTCCAAGAGATAACACCTGAACTTTAAATTCTCCCAGCATGCAACTGCAACCAAGCATCATAAAACAATTTCCTCCAACCAGCAGAGTTCCACAGTATACACATCCGTATATTGCACAATAACTGAAGTAGACACAGTTGTACTCTATATAAACATATTTACAGCTATATTATCCTTCCGTTCACCTTGATTTTACCTCCATTAGGAGATCACCGAGTTTGTCTCACAAGTGCGTTGCCTAATGGAACTTTTATAGGAGCCATTTTTTTCTTGCTATATCTAGTTTTGTATAGGTTTTACCAGGAAAGTGTATTAACTATGTTATACAGGTGGATACAGTCGCATAAATTACCAACCTGCCATAAATTCACAGAAAACTAACTGGGAAAAATTATCCGTATTCCATTATGAAGACAAAATCAACATGTTCAAGGTCATCTGTAAACACGAAGAATATGTTAAACCACAGAAACTGCGAGCTTTGCTGCAAAAATGTAAAAAACCCACCCACACTCCACAGCTGTTTGACACATTGAGGTGTGAAATTTGATATTGGGATTGAACAAACAGCTCTTGCAAAATGAGTGCGCAGCATCTAAAAAGTCCCCTCCAGTGGTGTTGAAGAATGAAGCCCTGTTACCATGAATGCATCATTGCTGAAACCAGAAACCAGCAAATATTTTTATTTATTAGGTTGCTTGACGGCATATGTTTCACTTTTGATGGGACGGTTCTTCCTGCTTCCAGTCTTTGTGCTGATGCTAGCTTAAAATGAACTTTTAGCATTCAGTTTTTTTGTTTTATTATGACAATATCGAAGGTGTTGTCTTGTAAATGTACCAATTTAAATCTGACTAATTCTGAGATTTATTTTTCAAAATTGACATACCCGTTCCTTATATACATTTTTCCTACACAATAGTACAATGTTGTATTTCCATCTTGTTATGTTAGCTGTAAAACACCCAAAAACTCAAATGAATGCATACCATTCATCAGCAGTTCACATTCCTGTCAGTGGACCAGAGGAATACAAGTCTGCAACAGAGGGGACGAAGTATGCACAAGACTTTAAAGTTCATTTCATAAAACATTTATGAAGTATCACAACATATCTTAGCAATTAGTTCCAATGTGACTCTAAAACAAGTCAATGAGTGTTATTTATTTTATGATTTCCAGATGATGTTCCACTGTACTGATTATAATTACGATCATGATTTCTTTTTTTAAAAGACATATTGTTACTTAAGATAAGTCCAAACCCGGCTTGACTTGTAGCTGTACGTCAGTCTTAGTCTTGGGTTATCAAAAAGCTCCAGGGGTTACAGATGAGTGCCGTACTGTCCAGGAGAAAGGGCGTCCAACAGACGCTGATCTGAGTTCAGTTCAGTATCCTTCATTGTCCCAGGTCACCTCATAGTCCGGATACTGAGCCTTCAGTTGCTCAGTGGTTACTGCATGGTTCGCTCTTCCAAATCCCTAAAACAAAATATACCAATGTACCATTAGAGTAAAAAAAAAAGAGAAATGTAGTAAAGCTGTAATGATTTAGAATTTAGTTTGTTTTGCACATTTGCTCTATGCACTGTTTTTGTCTACATAATTGCAGTTTTTATAAGGCAGAATTCTCTCACTATTGAGTATCCATAGACGTGGATCTTCTTGTCCTGGGGGTCATGTTGGATCCTCCCTCCTCCGACACACTCACAGTCCAGGTGGCCACCCTTCTCCAGCTCCTCAGAAACTTTATCATAGATATCAGCTGCAAGAAAAGGCATGTGATGGCATAAACACTGCACTTTATAATATATTTAAATATAATGTAGAACAGTGAAAAAATTGAATACTGTACATCAATGTATAATACAACTGTGAATCGGATGTTTGGCTTGAACAAATGTGGTTGTAACTTGTGAATGAAGCAAGCAGTGTCCCATCTGTCCAAACATAGGATATGATAGACTGTATATTTTGAATATTGGTCAGTGAAAGGCTGTGGCGCAGTGGAGTAGTGCGTTGGTGTTTGGATCAGGGGAGCACAGGTTCAAACCCCACTGCAGTCAGCATGTCGTTGTGTCCCTGGGCAAGACACATCACCCCAAATTGCTCCTGTGGGGATTGCCCACAGTATTGAGTATGTAAGTCGCTTTGGATAAAAGTGTCTAACAAGTGACATGTAATGTATAACACAATACAAGAACTGCAATTTACGGAATAGGGATGGAATGATATTCGATTATATTGTGGATTGGGGTGGCAAAAAAACAACACACAATATATCTATGATGGTATCTCCCATTATTGGGGTAATCATTAATACCCTCACACGATTGTCATGGAAAAGTTGTCTTTAACAAATGTAAGGTAAAGAGTTCTAAGCATGTTTTGATTATTATTGCGATAATATCTTAAGTCACATTTACATTTGCAAGGAAAATCTTGAAACTACATTTTCAAATGCTCCAAAATGACCATAAAAATGAATTAACACCTCTTTAAAACAGTTTCAACACACACTGAGGCCCCGGCTCCACGAGGACAAATACGGCAAAACGCATCGGAGTAACGCAAACGCAACCGCAAAAAACCTTCCGACCCCACGCAATATACACCGGATTGTGTCAAGCTCCACGAGACGGCTCCGTTTACATCCAACCGCTGGAAAAGCTGCAGTACATATGCCGAACCTGTACGTGGCGCTGTAACTTCATCCACAAAAGCAGCAACTTCCTCCACAAAAGCAGCGAAGAAGAATGGTTGTCATGGCTGCACTTCTGTTTATTCTCCGCGGTGGGGGCGGAGGGAACCGCGAGTTTTTCGCCGGTCAATGTGTGTTAAAGTTTAAATCTTCATGCTTCCTCATGCAGCAGCTGATCCAGTAAGTAAACCCGACAGTAAAAATAAACATATTTATAACTAGTTTAGGTAGTTTGAGAGGTAATTAAAATAGCTAAGGGTGGTGATCTGACTTGAAGTGTGTGTTTTGCTCTCGCTGCTTCACAGCCGGAGGAGCTGCGTGTCTCCGTCCTGTCAGATTAGACTTCACTCGCGTTTATGTTCATATCGAGATAAAGATAAATAATCTGAATTCAGTGTGCAGTGTACTTTAGCGGGGGTGAGCAGCAGAGGTGGGGAGAGGCGGGGCTATGAAACGCATGACTGTATAGGCGACCCCACGGCCCCGTTGGACCCCCCAGAGCGCTCCGTTCCCAGATCTATCCACCTTTGGACCCGTTGTCGTTTGCGGGGTCTGTTTCTACGTTTCTGTTACGGCGTCGTTGAGCTTAAAGGGCTATACGCATGAGAAATATGTGGATTCAACCCGTTTTCGTCCTCGTGGAGCCTACGCCTGAACATGATAACCTTGATGAGGGATAGCATTTCTTGTAAAACTGTTGTATTGTACTGCATTAGCTTTAGTTAGGTGAACCTAAACTCAGAAATGATAGTAGTTATTGAGTTCCTTTAATTGATTTGGGATGTTTTACTTTCCACTAGGGCGGCACAATTTGGTGAAAAAGTCATATTGCGATTATTGTGGACAACATTGCGATTTGCGATTGCGATTTAATCAACAAAGTATAATATGTACTTGCTTGGTCAGGGAAAGGAAAAAGCACAGACAAATGATCATTTTGAAATCTGTATTTCTCAAAGAATCATAAACAAATACACTAACAAAAATATCTTAGTAGTAGGCTACTGTTTTGAAAATAACTCAGAATTTGACAAAATAAAATAAATACCAAAATATATCTTCTTTGAAAATAAAGGTTTTTTCTGCATACTTTCTGCACTACTATACAGTAAATATAAGAAAACATACACATTTTCATAAAATAAGACATCTGAATGCCCAAACAAATGATGTAACAGAAAAAAGAGCAAGTAATAAAATTGGTCATATTTTGTGTAACCTTTACAATTGGAACAATAGGAATGCTAAATAAAAGTGATGCCTAGGGGTTGTTCAATTAAAGGTGGGGTAGGTAAGTTTGAGAAACCGGCTCGAGATACACTTTTTGTTATATTCCATGGAATGCTCTTAACATCCCGATAGCAATGAATATCTTAAGTGCTTTGACAAAAAATCAATTTAAAAAAAAATGTCATCTGTGGAAGCCGTAATACTGTAAAAAGTACGATCAATCATTTTAGCCGGCCCGGCTAAAATAACTGGATGGCCTACCTGCCTGTCAGCCTTCCATCTGTGCACAAATGTATCTCGTGCCCTCATTGGTCATGTGCGCGTTCGTGTGTGTTGGAGGAGGGGCTCTATAAGGAAGTGGCAGATTTTCTCCGGTTGTGTATTTTCAAATTCTAGCGATCTCGAGCCGGTTTCTCAAACTTACCTACCCCACCTTTAATTAAATCTTAACCACTTGTGTATTGTACATTATTTTAAGTTGTACTTCCACTGTCATTTAGCCTGATAAAGCCCATGTCTGTCACCCTTGGGTGGAACTAGCACCTGTCACATGTGTTGTGGTGAACCCCAGGTAGCTAACGTTAGCTTTCTCTGTTTGTATTGCCCCTGACTCACCATGGAACTCAGCCCATCCGTATCCTCGGACTATATCTATCTCCGAGTCGTCCCCCACCTCTCTGCTGTGAACTCTTATCAGGACGTACTTAAACACTCCGGAGGGGTCGATGTCTGCCCGCGCAATGTTAGCCATCAGGGCTGCAGCTTTCGTCTGAGAGCACATCTCCAGACTGCTCAGAGAGCTCACTAGCAGACTGACAAACAGACACAACGATGGTATTTTCTGAACAAACTCCGTGTCAATATATACAGGGAGCTGAACAGCTTCGAAGCACGTTTAAATGTTCTTGTTTAAAATGTAAATGGCCAGCTTTAACTCAATAAAACTGAACACGGTTACTCTAGTCTACAGTCACGCTTGTTCCGCCATGCATCAACATCAAGACTTCCGGTTACAGCGCTTTCAAAATAAAAGCCACATGCAAGTACTGAATACTAAGACCAATTTATTGCAATATCCGTCCCATTTGTTACATATTATAATTGCATAATTATAATGGTGATTGATAATTGCTGATATTTGAATTTGCTAAGTTCATTAAAAAGCACAATATATTACAAATTATATTTATGCAAAACTCCCCGCTTTTATTTTGACTGCATTACGACCTTACCGGAAATTATCGAACTGGCCGCACTCCTGATAAAGCAACGCATTCTGGTAGTTGTAGTCCAAAGCAGACAGGAACGATAGAATCAAATACAGTAGACGAGTTGTACAAAGGAAAAAAATATATGTATTTTGTTATCTCGAGTAAAACAAATATAAAACATACAATATTACCAAACAGAGACCATGCCATGATAATTAAAAACTCACAATGCGATAATATGAATATGATATGAATATTAACATAGCGTTATTTCAATCTTTGTCACAGTTGATTCATCAAACATAAATATGCTAAAAGCCACATCACCCCAACTGCAAACATGTTCCCCAGGAGTATCCAAATGTTTCCATCAGTAAAAACTCAATATGCCACAAGAATAATTTGGAAGATGCTACAATATGGGGGTACAAACTAAATAAACATGCAGGATCTGAAAAGATTTGGGAAAGTCTCATATTCATAATTCATCTACATGCCAAGAGTTCCCTTTGGCCTTAATGCAGGCACACCTTACATATTGGCATGTTTCAATGTTCCATCATAAAATTATTTACAGTGTTTTTTTGGGACATTTAAATAGTTTTCACTAGAGGTGGGCACGCTAAAAGCAAAACAAGTATATTACATCCAATTCAATAAGGCAGCACTCAAATATTAGTTTTATGGTGCAGAAAACTGAAACTGAACTAATTCATACCTTAAAGGGGCCCTATTATGCTCATTGTGCTGCCGCACCTCTTTACACCCTCTGTCTGAAACCAGAGCCCAGTCTGTTCTGATTGGTTAGCTGCTTAGAGCTGTCCCGCCCTTTAGCCTATCACAACAATGTGTTGGAGTGTTAACCAATAGAAGCGGGAGTGTTACATCGTGATGTTGCTATGTTACGGAAGTAAACAAAGGAGTCCAATCGCGAATACTATATAACACATTACAGGAAAGGGAAAACCCCAACAAGCATAATAAGGCCCTTTAGGTAAACTCATATAGCTTGAAGCAAACTGGTGAATTCTTGACTACTGTATAAAACAAAGAAATATAAACATAAGTTCTTTTTTTGGCAGTTTAGATGTAAGTTTTGCTCAGTACCTTAATGCCTTTCTGTATTTCAAGCAGGATTGTTGTATTCTAGTTTAATCTAAACTGTATCAGCAACTACTGGTTTCCTTTTATTATATAGTAGACATAAAGAAAAAATGTTTTAGATTGAAGAGCTCTTTTCTATCAGTTATCTACTTCCTCCAAATGACACAAGGTTTATGAAACTAAAACTTGTCTAAGTCAACAAATATTTGTAATATGCAAAAGCATGCTCTTGACTTGCGCTAAAATAAAATGTGAATTAAAACTGCCACCTTAAAAAAATACATATTTCAATACATATTAAAAAATAATTAAATAGTGTTTACTTGCATATTAAACTGGTAGTTACAGTATCTCCAGTGTGCTACATTTTAATATACCAGCGCTTCAGACTAGTCACACTTCTACATGAAAAAGAATCTCATATTTTCAAGAAGAAAATGTCATTCAGACCTCATCTTAGTGTCAGTGCCTCTGCTATACTATACAATATTCTTAAAACCCGACATGTGTTTTCCTTGTGTTTGCTTTATACTCCAGGAAATAACATTTGAAAGGAAAGATTGTGAAGTTAAAGGAGTTGTAGTTGTTTAAAAAAAATCAATAATTCATAATAATTTATATCCACTACTGGATATAGACAGCCATGCAGTCTCCTGCCCTTTACAGTATGTGAATGATGGGGCACAAATACAAAAAATGATGTGATTTAAAAACAGTAATTGACCTTCCTTAGGACTCTTTCAAGAACAAAATTAAAAAGACATCTTGTGAAATAAGCCTTTTGTCCTGCTGCATTAACCTAAAATCGGGGGACTAAGGGTAAGATGAGAAACAGATCCCACCTATTAATGTGATTACCCTTAAATAAACCGCATAGTTTCATTTCAGATCCAATATGTCGGAGTACAGAGCCAACATAAACAAAAACCTAATACTGTCTTGTTGTTATAGTATCTAGATGGTGCCATCACTTCCTCCTTTCTTCTTCCCATTAACAGAACGGAGTAGGATGAAGACCAGGACCCCCACGAGCAGGAGGACGGAGAGGAAGATGAGGGTGGCCCACGCTCCTGGAGTCAGGGCCTTCCTCAGCCCCACTGTCTCTGCCGGCAGTAAACTGCTCAGACTCAGCATGTAGCCCAGAGCCCAGCCCACCGAGGTGTCCCCTGCCTGGAGGATAAGCAAGTGATTACTGCCAGTTAGTAGATAATAGACAAATGAGTATTGAAGATATATCTGTTGTCAAATAGTGATTAAGTTCTCACTTTCTTCTGGAAGGTTACACGCGGGAATGACATCTCATCGAAGCCATATCCTCTGAACATGAGAGTCTTAACGAACACAGAGCTGGCACAGCTGTCCTGCAAACGAAACCTTTGCTTCGGGTCAAGAAGCAGCAGCTGGAAGAAAACAATTAAACAGTGTAAGCAAGTTGTGGAATAAAATATATGAACTAGAAAGTGGAGTTGAATCTCACTCATTTGTCCCTTCCAGCTCCCTTATAGTCAAAATAGCAGCAAACCAGGTTTTGTTTCTATTCAACTAATTCAATATTAATATATACAGTCAAGGTACAAAAGTAAAAAGTGAGTTAAAGCGGGAGGGACGAAAGCATTGCTTATAACAAAATAGCTCACTTTATGATAAATTAGTTTAAATGTAATCATGTACAGGGGATAACATAATAATAAAATACCAGAAAGTAGTATACAGTTCACAATACAAAAACTATAACCTTATATAAACTTAAAGATGAAACAAACAAATTCAATAATATGGATTTTCCCAAAATTGTAAATCACCGCAACCATGACAGGTCTTTAAGCATACAGTAATAAATGAGCACATAACGTTTTAGGTCGATTTTGTAGGTGTTAACTATAGTCAATGTATTTAAAGCAGAGTGTACGGCCATGCTCACAGCTCTGTTAGGCTTTGCACAGTGGTGCTTTGAGATAAGTGCTACTTGGAGCATGCTAAACAGATGCTCAAACACTAATTTAGGTGTGAGCATGCTCCTATTGCTAATTAGCACTGAAAATTAAGTAGCCTACACATCAAGCTGATTCAAGTTTTAATAGTTTTTCAGGTATTGGCTATAAACCACACATGAACGAATACATGCCAAGACAAAAATTATATATTATGAACAAATGAATTGAAAATAAGTAGAAAGGACCATTACTTGATTGAAAGTCATGCCGCACTGAGTTTCCGCCGCGTTCTCTAGTTGTGAAGGAGTTTGTGCGGTGACGCCGGTGGTACGCTGCAGCGAGAGGTGAACGTAGTAGAAAGCAGAGAACGCCTGGTGCACAGAGAGACAAATACAACAATCAAACTGGGGCAACACATAGTACATAGAAAACATTTTTACCTAGGAGAGAAATAATGTTGCATAATAGGTTCTTATTAGAACATTGAGGCATTGCACTTGTTCTTCTGTGAAAATGTCATGCAATTATTGTGATCAATACTGCTATTGAGTTACAGTAATTCAAATACAATCGCAAGGCTGGTTATGCTTATAAATAAGTATGTCATTCGAGAGGCCTGTACTCCACTTGTGTATTGTTGTATATTTGTTATTTGATACACAACAGTTTATTTAGTAGTTTTACTGTGGTTTGTTTTTTCAATTTAATTTAATTATTTGCAAATACATTTACCTGAGTGTATTTCTGCTTTAATCAAATATTTTTCTATAATGGTGTTGCTTATTTTACTGATTTATGGTCATCAAAATCAGAATCTGGTTTATTGCCAAATATTGTTTTTATAGACCTACAAGGAATTTCCTTTGGTTTTTTATTATAAAAATAGCAAAAAATGTACAAATATTTTAAAAATAATGTTTAAAAAAATAGGCTTCAAGTGCTGACCCATATGAAAGGTCCTATATCTTTTTTGTGTGCAATGTGGTTATTATGGCTATGTTTATAATATTATCTGTCTTTGTTTCAAAATATGTAAAAAAGGAAAAAAGATGACAGCTCAGTGTCATCTTCTCCCTCCAGCCTCTCTCACCATGAAGCTGCCGCTGACATTGGGCTGGAAGACTTTATCGAAGGAGCACTGGGAGAAGGGGCAGCTGTCGAAGGAGAAGATCTCCGACACGTTGCCCAGACAGTGTTCGTACTGTCCGCTGCCCGTCACTGTCACAGAGGCCAGGGGGTCGTAGGAGCTGGGATTGTACTGTGCTGTACACGGAGAGCTGAATATACTGTTCAACTTCACGGTTCTGTTGAGGCCTGCAGGATAGCAGGGGTGAGTGATGGACTGAGGGTAATCCTGAGACTGAGAGAAAGACACAGACAGTGGGATTCATATCACATATACCCTTATTATGAAAGTATCTGTTTTGTATCCTTCCAAAACCAGATGTGTTAGTCTTTAAGTAACATGATGCTGAACTGTCCTGCTTAACAACTATGTCAGTCAGAATTCTCTTATAACCAAATATTAGGGATTTTTATTCTCTGTGTGTATTTCATGCACATCATTAATATTGTATATAGAAATTTGCAATGTCTCAAATGTCAATGCAGCCATCAGTATTCTTTAAAACTCCATTAGTATTAGAGCAGTTTCATGTTGGAACTATCTTCTATTAACCACCCCCGCCAATTGAAACTGCTCACAAAAAAGTCTGTGGATTATTTTAGGTAACTGGGTCATGATTTCTGGAAAGAGACATTGCTGATCAAATATATTTTATTTGAGCGACACAAGCGTGTGCCATTTCCTCCCATTATATTTGGCAGACAATATCTCTACAGCCAATATCTTCAGAACCCAGCAACTCTATATAACAATAGGTAAAAGAAACAAATATTTATTAGATTTGTTATCTTAAACATCTGGATCCTAACCAGAAAAATAAGTGTTGCCATTATAAACTGTACACGGCACATCACATGACTTACTTTCCGAATGTTCTACATATTCCTTAGGGGAAATATTACATTTCTGTTATAACGCAAATACTAAAAAAGGTATCCAACAACCGCATATATATATATATATATATGATGACGATGGAAAGTCAAGTTGTTTTTCACTTCATGAGTGTGTCATGTTACACTACCTTCAGGATGTGAGCCATGAGTCTCTTGAGGAACTGGTCCCGGCCGTAGCACAGGAAGCTGTGTGTGTACAGAGAGTAATCATTGCCATAAAGACGCAGCTTCTTCAGATCCTTTTCATCCTCCACTTTATCCTTAGTCTCAAATGTGATCTGAGTGGACGCTCCGCCGAGATCAAGCGCCCCCACCGTGGGTCTGCCGGCGCTCAACCAGCTCCCCACGAAACCATACTGTGGGGACAAAGTAGCATAAGAGAATGGGTATTTTTAAGTGGTGATTATACGAAGAAAAGCTGTCAACCCCCTACAAATGTTGACAACGAACATCAGAAGAAATGGTGGGAATCGACCACTAGCCACTAGGTGTCATCAGTGCCCCTCTTAAAAAAAAGCTTGAAGATCCATTGCATCAGTTAAGTACACAAATGTAGACGTTTTAACTCGACTAGATAAAGAGAAACTGTAATATTGTTGCTGCACACGATGTGATTCAAAATGAACCATCATTTGACTGTTAGATTGTCGGTGGGGGAATGTGACTAAATACATTTACATGTACTTTGCTTAAGTCTTTCCTTAACTTTACACTTCTACATATCTACGAGGGAAGTATTGTACCGTTTAATGCACTATATTCTTCTGACACTTACTAGTTAGTTTTGAAAGATGCCCTATTATGCTTTTTTGGGGTTTGCCCTTTCCTGTAGTGTGTTACTGTATATAGGTTTGTGTGCATGTAAATGGTCTGTAAAGGCTAAAATCCCAAAGTTCTCTTTCGAGGTAGTTTCTCTCCCACACTCTGCTGAAACGCCTCCATTAGGCTCCTTTTTTACTTCCGCGACATACTGACATACCTACGTAACACTTGCGCCTATATTGGCTAGCGCTCCAACACATTGTATGTGATTTGTTAGGGGCGGGACATCTGTGACCGGTTGACCAATCACAACAGAGCCGGCCAGCTAACCAATCAGAGCAGACTGGGCTCTGGTTTCAGACAGAGGGTGAAAAGAGGTGCTGCAGCACAGGCAGTTTGAGAAAAATAAAGACCTTTTTTGAACATTAAAACATGAATCATGTCAAAGTAGAGGAACTAAATACGTGTTTGATAGTGTATACAAATAATAAATAAATGTTATAGAAATAAATACTTTTGATATTTTAAGTATATGTTGCTGATAATACTTCATACTTCTAACAAAAGTAACATTGAATCCAGGACTACTTGTAATGGGTTATTTTTTTAATATGTTTTTTGAACTTTTACTAAAAAAGGTACTGCTTAAATAACTGTCGTTAGTTGATTTAGATAAGAATCGTGACTGCAAGAACACACACTTTTCATAAGGGTTGTGGTACCTTGATGAAGTTCTCTGAGAGATAGTTGACAGTGACCCAGCCGTACGCCCCCTCCTCTTTCCCGCTGAGTATAGTGGCCCCCTGGTAGCTGAAAGGGTACGACTGGATTTTGTGGCCCACTTCCTGCAGAATCTGGTCCGACGACTCCGGCTTTGAGATCCTAATTGGGAGAAAGAAGAGTCTTCTTTTACTGAGGTTTTACAAGTTAAGACTATGTGAGGGACTCTTCATTAATAGGAAACAGAGTTTGTTGGTCAAACCTTGATTATTAGTGACTGTTTTACCTCCCCAGGCTTCAGGTCTCACTGCTGACCTCTAAAACTATAAAGATTTAACTATCCAAGATCTTGTTGTCTTCGGGTCAAATCTGACCGATTTACTACTTTCATCAATCATACATTTTTTGTTTTACATTCGATTGCATTAAGGCTTTATGATATCCTTCACAGTAGACATTTGAACATATACAATTGCTGATCACCACTGTCATTGCATTTTGGATGATTTAGTCAACTTTGTAACACCCATGGTGTTCCCGGTCATAAAGAAAAGGAATTAGTAACCATCCGGATCAACACACACACACACACACACACACACACACACACACACACACACACACACACACACACACACACACACACACACACACACACACACACACACACACACACACACACACACACACACACACACACACACACACACACACACACACACACACACACACACACACACACACACACACACACACACACACACACACACACACACACACACACACACACACACACACTCTAGATGTGTGTGTCCCCTTATGTGCCCAATCCCCCCACATGGATCACACCTGGCACACGCAATACATGTTCAGTGTCTGTTCTTTGTATATTTACTGCAATTTTTCATGTATACCAGTTGTCTGATACAATATGTACAGTTTGAAAGGGTGTTAAATGAAATTTGGTGATGATTAATGGTTTTTGTGTTAATGTAATAGCAGTTAAAACAGGACCGGTCAAATTTGACCGCGAACACCAAAGTAAGGGGGGGGGGAACGAAAGACAATAGGAGGGTTAAGTATCATTGTGAGGCCACCGTGAAATCAGTGACATGTGTGTGTCAATAGGAACAGTTGGAGATGAGTTGGTAATTCCTATGTTTATAGAATAAGGGCCCCAATTATTTGCTGTAGGAGATCAGGCACGGTAGCTCTGTTTCCCCTTAAATCTCTCTTAAAATCACAGTTGTTCAGAATAAATTCCTTCAAGTCCGTTTTTCTCTGTTTAAAAAAAAACATTTCAGTATTTCACACTCTTTTTCATTAAAACTGTATAAATTCTGGTTTTGTTTCATTTGTTTGTCTTCTCAACATGTTTTGCATTGAGCAAATGATTTACATCTGGCTGAGTGATTGGACAGCTGTTTATGCACTGCATATTCCCATATAGTCAAACCTCACATGTAGGGATGTTGACAGTGTCTCAGCGCTCTGTCAACACCCCTACTAGCTGCTGTAAATATTCACAAAGCCTCCTTGATAATCAAACAGATTGCTGATAAGACCAGAAAGAAGACAAAGATATTTACCCGATAAATGTTTTAACAATCCTGCAAAGACAGTAGATCTCACACACATACAGTTATTATACATTATACAATAAATATAATGTTGCATTGCTGCAGAAATGTAATAAGCCAAACATTTAAGGGGCACAAACTTGCAGAGGTTTATTAAGTTCATAACTACAGTATGTGACAAAGGAAAGTCGTTATATCTTTGTATTAACTCATTTAAAAAGATTTAAAAAATGACCAACAGGGCGTAAAAGATAACTCTGGTTCCCAAATATGCAAGCGTGTTATACAAGATAAACTATGCAAGTACACTAAGTTAAGAAAATTGTATCTTTCCTGTGTGACCAGACGTCTGTTAATGTGATACTGTATGTTGTATTGCTAGTTTTATATTGCATTATGATTTTGATTGGAGAATCACTATATTGTGGATGAATGTGTTTTGGTATTATCACACAGTATAAAAGGATGGTACGGAAACCCTTAGACGCAAGCTAGAAAATAACATGTGGTGATCCATGTTATGAGGCTGTGTTTTCTATTGTGTTAATGACTTAATGAAAAAGCGTATAATATTTCTAAGTTACTTAAAGGTGGGGTAGGTAATTCACTTCAGAAACACTTTTTGTTATATTCCATGGAATGCTCTTAACATCCCGATAGCAATGAATATATTAAATGCTTTGACAATAAATACATACAAAAATGTCATCTGTCGAAGCCGTTGCGCTGTAAAAAGCACGACCAATCATTTTAGCCGGCCCGGCTAAAATAATTGGATGGCCTACCTGCCTGTCAGCCTTCCATCTGTGCACAAACTTATCTCGTGCCCTCATTGGTCATGTGTGCGTTTGTGTTTTGGAGGAGGGGCTCTGTAAGGAAGTCTGAAGGAAGAGGCAGATTTTTTCCGGTTGTGTACTTTCAAATTCTAGCGCACTCGAGCTGGTTTCTCCATTCTTACCTACCCTATACCTTTAAAGTGGACCTATCATGCTATATTTAAATGATATATTGTAGGGCCATACCTATATAAGGTATATTTATACGTTTCTGTTTTCAAAATACCAAACAGATCATGCATTTTAGCCATGCCTCATTTCGCTCTATGTGCTGTTTGCTGTCTAAAGGGCTGATTCTGTGAGCTGCAGCTGACCACGCCCCCCTGCAGGAGAGGGGAGCCGTGCTCTGATCAAGTCAAGAGGGGGAGAAAAAAAGATCTCCGTCCTCCGTGTTTTATTATATTGTTATAGGCCTATAGAGTCGTTATTCATTTGTTTTAAAGCTCAATAAATAACAAAGAAGACCTTTGACCGGCACTTTTCTAATTTTGTCCGGAAGATTTAAACTTTAACGGACATCTTGACCGGCGAAAGAAACTGAAACTCTGCCGCACGGTCCCCTCGTTCCTTGGAAGAGGCGGAGAGGTGGGTGTTTGTCATCTGCTGGTGGACTAACCGGAGAGAATTACAGTGCTTGCCTCGACGGGGAGGGATTGCATTGCAGCGGGAGCAAACGCTTGCCTCGGGGAGGGAGAAAAAAAAACGAACACTAACAAAACAAAAAATCACCTGCCAGAACTTTATCAACGTTTTCACGGATGTCAAAATGATACCGGCAAAAAAAACACACACACACACACACACACACACACACACACACACACACACACACACACACACACACACACACACACACACACACACACACACACACACACACACACACACACACACACACACACACACACACACACACACACACACACACACACACACACACACACACACACACACACACACACACACACACACACCACACACACACACACACACACACACACACACACACACACACACACACACACACACACACACACACACACACACACACACACACACACTCTCTGACTCACTGCAGAAGCCTCATGCCAGCTGTGGCTCCCAGGTACACAGGTGTGCGCGGGTGTCTCTCTTTGGGGATGTCCTCCACCGCCTGGTCTAGACATGCCTCTAAGCTCTGCCCTGCTGCTCCCTGTTGGCCTGCATAGCTGGAGATGCCTACACCTGAGCGACAACAAAACCCGAAAAGCAGCTGATTACATTATCGACGTGCAGAATCTTGTTCCTATGTTTGCTTTTGTAACCTCATGTGCATCATGATGTAACTCAATCACACCCAGGCGATGAAAAACGGCATGGCAATATGTTAACAACTCTTGACATGTAACGTTCAAAGTTCACTTCTGATTGACATTTCAATTATGGAAGATGACAGTTGAAACACTAAGTCCATGACTAATTGGAGAAACAAGCATTTGTTTATAAAAGACACATTAAGACCCTTTGACAACACAGGAGTGGCAAAGCACAGAGCTCAACTCTGACACATTCCTGATTCATGATCGCCCGGTAACAAACATTGGCCTCACTTGTAATATGATTACATCATCCAGCTGGCACTCATCCAGTTCCTCCCACCCACTGGGGAATAAACAAGAAAAATGACTCTCCCGATATACTTTCAATAGAAGATTAAAGGTATATTGAACGAAAACCTGTGTTTTGAATATAAAAAGTTCACGTTTAGGGTTTAAAAGAAGTCGGGAACATTCACATTCAACTTGACACTTACCTTATGTAAGATTTCAAAATACTATGCATGGTAGATATACAGTAGCCCTATTAAATGTTTTATCTTGAACCATCAACTTGAATTGCCCTCATTATGATTTGAGGTTGGATCACCTTTACAACTTTCACATGCAGTGAGTGTGGCATTACAGTAACAAAGGAGTCCAAAGTCCATTCAAACTTTTCAAACCACTCCCACAACTTATTATACTCCTTGTCCATCTCTGTATAGTTTAAATCCTTGCATTTTCATCATAATAGAGGGACATTTGGCAAGATATACAGCTTTTCTATCAGTCTAGTGCAGAATCCTGTGCAAAGAAAGTGCTAATAAATGTTGAACCCCTCCTATAGCATATATATATTATTCTTCTCTGTTTATATTGCTGCATCTTTCATAAAACATGCAGCCCAAAGTGATTCACATTTAAAAAAAGGAATGATAAGAAAACCGCGGTATTGCATTTTATCCAGTGAAAAGGGAGTTACAAGGATAAATGGCTAGTAATACAATATGAGAATTTAAGCATCTTTCTGAGCAAAAACAGATTAGACTGCGAAGATATTGTCAAACAAATAGGAACATGGGGAAAAAAGGTATGTTTCTCTTGCTGCTTTGAGTCATATTGAAAGCATTTCGATTTTTTCCTTATTTAGCTTTAAACACTTTCAAAAGATCCATACAATAACGACAGTGAGACACACAATGACATTATGCAGGGCCTTAGGGGTGATTCTGTGGGACAGAAATGTTCAATTGTGTATCATCAGTGCAGGATTAAAACGTTAATCAAATTGGTTACTTCCATTTGTAGATATGTGTTTAGCCTTAGCCTAAAGTGTATGACTCTCTGATGAAAGAGAGTCATACACTTTTCAGATCCAACACTCAATTGTACGAGTTGGAGTATTGGTACCATTTGATTTGTGGTTATTGGTGGAGAAAGTGATCATTCTTACCCTTAACATGGCATTCAGTGTGCTGGGTGACCACGCCTGTTCCATTCAGCTTGTCTGCGGGCCACTTGTAAATATACAGAGCTGTGTGCGAAGATCCAGCATCCAAGACAATCCCATACTACAGAGAGAAACAGACAGAAAATAAACATCAAGAGAGGTATTTGTGCTGAAGGCCTTGAGAAGGGGAGTCATTTACGCTGGTGGCTGTGTACCCTTAATTTTGGCATCTGGAAGCCATTTGACTGCAGACTAAGTCTACTAGTCACGTTGATCTTCGAAGACACCCCTGGGAGGGATATTTTGGACAGAAACGGATGCATACCATTTCTACTTCACCTATACAGTATAAACACTACAAAACATTTAAGTATTTGACATCACCAACTTTGCGTGACAGAAAAGGTTTGATGACTTATGAAGAAGAGAAGTTGAACTTTCACTGATCATCACCAAGGGAAAAGTTAAGTAAATGTTGACGAAGGTTTTACTTTGAAATACAAAGGTTAACCTTACTGATTTACTCACATGACATTACACATTGCACCTTTCTCACAACACTAATTATGATTTAGGGACTTAGATGTGAAACTTTGGTATTGTTTTAGAGAATTAGCAAAAAGAGTAGTCTTCTTTAAAATGCACGTCTCACATCTAGTCATTTGAAAGGGCTAACCAACATAATTCATGTTGGAACAAGTGTTTACTCATGAGGCCTGTTTGTGCATTGAGGGCAAATATCAGTGCATAAATCAATTCAAATTCAATAACCTTCATGATCTGAAACTTGTAAACTCGTACAACCGTTTTATATTAAAGATCCCATGACATGGCCATTTCTACTGATCATAACTCAATTTTTGAAGTCTACTAGAATAGATTTACATTGTGCAATTTTCCAAACTCACATTGGTTTCTCATACAGCGTCTCTGTATAGTATGTGTATTCACTCTCTGTCCTAAACGGCTTGTTGGAGCTCCTGCCCCCCCCTCCCTGTGAGCCCACTCTGTTCTGATGAGTCCACCACCGTTACAGCGGAACATCAGTGATTATGTGTTTCAATGGCGTTAGCAACCAGAAAATGACACCAGTAATGACAAACGGATGAGAATGCTGCGTGGGTTCTGGGTGCCGTGTTGGCGGGACGTTGCGAGGCTCGCTGCTGCGAGGAGCGGACAGTATGAGCTGGCTTACTGGTGTGGTTTCCTGGTTGCTGCGTGGGGTCGGCGAGACAGCGAGACACAGCGAAACCCAGCCCGAAACCAGCCCGAGTACACACACACACACACACACACTCACAGCCTCTCCGTGTCCCGCCGTCTCAGGCTGAGAAATCCGCGGAGCTGCAGCTGCCTGAGAAAAGATTGAGTGTGTGTGTGTGAGGAAGTCGGCGCGATTACATGTAAAGTCAATGCAGAGACGCGGACAGACGCAAATTTGCTCCGAAGGCGTGCATGAAGCGGTTGATGCGAATGCTGCGGCGCGATTGAAGCGATTGAACGGGGCCGCGATAACCGCTCGAGTTCAATTTTTTCAACTCGAGCGTCAAATTCGCGTGTCGCGATCTCGCGGTAGCCAATCAGCGGTGAGGATCTCAGCCAGCCGTCAGTGACGTTGAACCAGAAAACTAAAACATCAGCAGGCTCAGCCGGCTAACCAACATAATTCATGTTGGAACAAGTGTGTGTACTCATGAGGCCTGTTTGTGCATTGAGGGCAATCAGTGCATAAATCAATTCAAATTGAATAAACTTCATGATCTGAAACTTGTAAACTCTTACAATCCTTTTATATTAAAGAACAGGTCACAGCAATGACATCCTGGATAAGTGCTTTATTTCTCACCCTGCCACTGATCTGTCGCGATAATCCTGTGAGCATACTTAATGTCCAATTTCACATAAATAAAAGGAATTCAGTGGAGTACTGGTTGTACCAATCAGGCACATCAATGCAAGAGAAAAAATGGTAAATATCAATAAACAATTCTAAACCTTCAGTTTGTTCTGTTGGGTGTCTAACCATGTATCAGAGGTTAGGGTTAGGGTTTAGGCATTGTAGAGGTAATTTCTACTTACAAACTCTGTAAGTTAGTTCTGACTTTCCCACTTGTTTAGCCCTACATCTTCCCTAAAATACCATGGTCTACTTACTGGGATGGAAACTCTGTTGTCCTGACAGTGCTACCACTTTCACTACAACGTCGAATATCAAGCAACTTTAATCTCTGCTCAACTGAAAGCAAACACTCAGAATGTGCGAGAATCCACATGCAAAAGTAGATACACTTGCAAATTCTATACTCAGGCATTTGCCAAACACTCAATATTTCAAATCAGTACAACAGGTGAGTAGCAACATTGAGGGGGAGCGTTCCTCCTAATTTTGTCCAAAAAAATCTTATTATCGCTGTGCAGTGAGTTGTAAGGACTCGGTCTAACACTGCCAAAAACAGAGAGCAGCTCCTAATGATCTGCTTTGTCCTTTAGTTTGATAAACTATGGGAACTGTTGTACTTGCTCTCCCTGCAAAACCCCACTGTGTCTTTTTTTGGGACTGTTCCACCGCATTGATACAGAGTGAAAGGGCGGCTACATAATACTAAAAAAAGGAACCATGGGATATTTAGACGGTAACACAAAAAGAGGTAGCAGGGGGAGCAGAGGGAACAGAAGCTCCAGCTGACCTGTGGAGCAATCCCCCTCTGAATGCCAAAGCAATTAAAGCTTGATTCCCATTCCAAATGTATATTGCAGTCTCTTAAATCTTTGATTACAATGAGGCTACCAACGGTTTATCAGTGTTTCAGCCATGAGATCATCTGTGCCGATGGCCTCTTCCTAGGCAAGACAAAACAAATTTTATTTCACAAAGTTTCTTCAGGAACAAGTTTTCCCTCCATAATCCTCAAATACTGACGCTTTGTTAACAACCCCCTGGAGACACATTTTAATGCACAGGTACATCAATAGACTTTACTTTGCTGAGGTTGGGGCGTAAAAACTTCTTGGTTGGGGTCTGGGAAATGTCAAGGTTTGGGTTAAGCACATGACTTTGATTATGTATATCAGGTAAGTTAAGTTATGTACATAAGTTAGAGTAAGTTAACTTTGCCTTTTGGTTTCACAGAGACCCTTCCATCCAAATAAACGTCCTGCCTACCCAGACTCTGTCGCGCTTTATACTACGTCACCTGACTTGCTCTTTTACTCCAATCGTAAGAACTGCATTGGAGGGTAAAACTAAAACAATGGCTGTTTCATGCTATTGTCATTAAAATTGCTATATTTCAATATGAATGTGGTCCTACCAATGGTGCGTTCACACCGGACGCGATGCGATCTTTCGGGGCAGCACGATTACATGTAAAGTCAATGCAGAGACGCAGACAGACGCGAATTCGCTCCGACGGTGCGCATGAAGCGGTTGATGCGAATGCCGCGGCGCGATTGAAGCGATTGAACGGGGCCGCGATAACCGCTCGAGTTCAGAGATAAGCTTGTGCATTATCATTGTACAACTGAAAGCCCGTAAAAGGCGACTCTTAACCTCTTCAAGTTTTTAGTACTTACTTTTTCTTCTACCACTGCCAAAACCAACACTCCCAGTTAGAGAGATGGTGAAAAGTAAACAAGATGGTGTTTGCCTGGGGCTCCCAAATCACTAGATCCGCCCCTGCTAATGTGACAGAATCCACAACTAGCACCCTGTCTGCACAGCTTGGGTTACCGTCTCCAAAAAACTCTTACTAACAGGAATACAAATATACCCCAAAATATCACAAAAGGCTTCAAAGCACTTTGAAATAAATTATGCAACTCAACTTAATTAACTATTGTGATTCAGAAATATAATCCATAATACCAGAATGAGCCCTAAAATATTGCAAAAGGCTTCAAAGCAATAGGCAACAAAACATACTTACTGTGGGCTTCTTCCATATAGGAAAACATGACAGAGGGTTGTTACTGTTTACAATGTTGATTTGGATTGCAACATTTAACAATTAAAAAATGCAAGCTTTAAATGGAACATATGTTAAGTACATGTTGTAACATTAGGCTGTTATGGAAGTATTTTATTAATAAGTTATTAGTTTTACTTCAAAAATAGTTTTTAGTATGCATACTTCCTACAGTAGGTTCCACCTTGAACAGACGTAAAGTACATTAAAGTACATTGCCCTGATAAGGCTTCTTTTCCACTCTTCACTTGAAGTAAACACAATACTTTATCTTTGAGGAAATACTACTTTTAATTCAGAAACTTTTGAGTATGCCCATCTGGCCCCCGGATCACTAAATCCGCCCCTGCTAATGTGACAGAATCTACTAGTAACACCTTCTTTACCTCTCTGCACCGTGGCCAGCACAGCTTGGGTTACTCTACCCCGACAACTTATACCCCGAGTCCAGAAATACCCAACCTTACCATGAACCCCGGCGGCTCCTGGACGTCTTCAGTGGGGATAGTCAGGAGCAGGATGGCAGCAAGTCCGAACACCAGCAGCGCGATGGGTACCGCGGGGTGAGCGGAGCAATGAGCCATGAAGAAGACAAGGGGTCACGCGCAGCTCCTCTCTGCGCCTGCTGGAAATGTGAGAGTTGACTTAACAGAGACACGTGGGAGTTGTGGTTGACTGGCCGGTGTTATCTGCTGCCTGCCTGCCTCCTACTTTACATTTCACTTGAGATAGCAAAGTCTTACCGGAATTTATGTTTCCTCCGCTGTCAAACCCTCCTCCATGTGCCCCCTCGGTCAGTGAATGAAAGCAGCACCAAGGCTACTGGTGCCATGGAGGGAAAAATGTTTGTATCATGGTGAGAGCTGGTAGAGAAGGTGCAGTACATTCACCGGCTGTAGCTGTATGGCTATAGACTTCCTTGTTTCTAGAAATTAACACATGAATCATAATTATTCAAACAACAATGGGAAATAAGGGGTGGCTTCTCCTGGCAGGAGTCTGCATTTGCTGCACTTGAGGAGCTGCAGAGCTAGTTGTTGTGTTGTTCAGTATTTGCATGTCAATGGGTGCAGTTTAAACCTGACTTGCAAATTGTACCCCTCATTTGAATGTCCAAGTAAAGCATGGAAATTAAGTTTTCACTGAGGCCTACACTTCTTTGTGCATGTACTTTTTGTGCAAGGCTATTTTTTGATGAAACCCTTTTGTGACAGTGTCTAAATTTAGCAGAATATATAATGAGGTTTTTTGAAGAAGCTTCTGAATATTGCACTTGAGTTATTCTTCATGTCTCACTTTTATCGTTGTATGCTTTGCAATATGCTAGATGCTGACAAATATAGGCTAATGTTGTAACTATTACATCTGATTTTATAAATCTTCTGGGATATAAATGCCAGAATAGATTAGAATAGCTCAAGCTCTTTTATTATAGATGTTTTAAACACAGCTGAATTGCTGCCTCAAGTCTCATGACTGAAATTCGGGTGATGATAACTGATTTATCCAGTCTGTGTCCAAATAACATGGGCTACTTTTCTTTTCTTTTTTTAACTTTGTTTTTATTGAAAATAATTGCACTGAATTCCAAACGTACATACTGTCATTTCCCTTTGACACACAAAAATACAATTTTAATTCGCATCCACATGTTAAGGCGCAACGGGCAACTAAAAAATGAAATAAAAATGAAAAATAAAAAACGACTGTCCAAAAGAGCCCTTGTCGGGAGTTTAAATCTCAATGGTTTCCTGGATTATCTTGTCCAATGTGTTTGTCTTCTTCTCTATATAATGTCCATCCTTTCCACTGGTCTTCCATTTTTGGTAGACTTAGTCTCAACCGATGTGTCAGTTTTTCCATTATGTAGATTTCCTCTACTAACTCCATCCATTGTCCTTGATATCCACTTGCCCCCATTTCCTTGTGATGGCTTTCTTGCCGGCTATCAACAACACTTTAACTAAACATCTATCTGGTTGTATATCATTTTCCGTAAAATTACCCAAATAAAGAATCATAAAACTCTTGGGGAAATCATATCCGATTATCTTTTGTACTACTTTATGAACCATTCCCCAAAACGTTGTTATTTTGTGACATTTACAAAATACATGTGAATGATCTGCTTCTGCTGTTCCACATTCCCTCCAGCATGGTAACTTTACATTCTGTTTTTAACCTTGGGTGTTATAAAAAAACGAACATACAGTAGGCTACTTTGAATTCATGGACATGTAAATGTTTGACATCATTCAAATGTTGGCTTTATCAGGTCTTACACAAATGTAGTGTAACACGACAACACATACGTTAAGGGAAGCTCAGACGACAGAAATAATAAAGAGAGATCCTGTCATAAATAGTAGTTTAGTCACAGTTGACTTTTAGCCTTGAGAAAAATTACAATATATAATGGTAAACAAATCCTACATCTACTTCCCATAATGCAACTCAATAGCGTGTTTCGTGAGAGCCTGCCTTCATGGTCACGTCTTTCAAACTCAAAAGCTCTAAGTTATGGCACAGGCATTCTGTTAAAATTACAATTTGATTCTGATGTTTTGCAGAAAAAAAATGAGGACGATTGTCACAGAGCGCTTCACCCCCAAAGTTTCCATTATTTCAATTTTGACCCTGTTTTTTGCTGACCATTTGACGCAACCAATCAAATGACAGCTGAATATGCTAATGCTAGCAGGTGATGTAAGTAACCACAGAAACTAAACTTAACCTGTTATCAGAAAGCTCTGTTCCCAACCTTGCTTTGAACAAAGAGCAAATTACGTATCGTGAATGCAGCTTATGCAATTCCTCATCTGCTGCCAGTTATCGGAATATTTGAGTTGAACAGAGCTATTCCGAATGCTATTAGCAACCCCATGCTTTACTATGACAAATCAAATTGGCTGCTGTTAAAAAAAGGTTTCTTACTAAGAGAGATACAAACTTTTAGGGTCTTTACTGTTCTTATGTTACTAGAGTCTGTTCAGTCTTAAAACTTGGTAACAAGAAAATAATTTCAAACTCCAACTCTCAATCCCTCTGCGTCTTCCTAGGGTTCAAACCAGTCTATGGTTCAAACCAGTAATCACCCTCAGGTTGTTATCCACATGCAGGACAGAGTCACATTAATCTCTCTGACAGAGGGTGACAGTGTCAGCTGTGATCATGGCAGAAGATCAATGGACCCGAACAGATGATTCACCTGACAATACCCTGTGACATACCTCGGTTTCATCAAAGTCTATCATGAATTACCAAAGACAGCCGTGATCTTATTAACTCCACACTCATAATTTAATTAAAGATTATACCAACTGTGACTGTGACTGCATGGGTCCCTATGGTACCAGGTTTAACCTTCACATGTTAAGGCTGTTTTAAAAAAGGATTTTTGGGTGTTTCTTCTAGTTTTTCTTTGATCATTTGTGTATAATGCAAACACATTCCCGAAACACTATTAGCTGCTTTTATTTTAAATATCTTTATAAACATTCACCCGACACAAAGCGCTATAATGATCCTATTGGAGAGGGTTTGTGTCCCCATGATTAATGTATGTCCAGTATCCACTCTGGTTTTGATTTGGTGTCAATCTCCTTAGACTCTAGAGCAGGGGTGTCAAACTCAAATACACAGTGGGCCAACATTTAAAAATCGGTACTAGTCGAGGGCCGGACTGGTTCAATATTTATTGCAAAACTTATTGAAATTAACTTATTGCACATATTAAACCTGGAACTAACAAAGCTTAAATTATTGCCTATAAAAACAACATTAAACATTAAATAATCAGTTGCATTCATTTCTTATGGCTCTATCTGCAGATTTTCCGGAGTCATTTCTTATGATTACATTTTCCCACAGGCCAACAACAGCTTCAAAAAAACTATTTCCCTCAAAGAAAAAACCAAACATGCCCTGTTGTCGCAAGAAAAAAAGTGCAGAAAGGAAACATCCATTTAAACTCAGTGTGCTGCTCTGTGATGCTAGTTTAAGCCAGATACTTGGCATCTCATCTTGGGTGCAAGTTCATCAATGTTTGGGCTCAGGCTCTGAGCTGAGGAGATCCTCAGGATTGAGTGAAGGTGTGCGTGCAATATACCGGCGGGCCAGATCTAATTGTAATTAAAAATTATCCTGCGAGCCGAAATTAAATCCACCAAGGACCTGATTTGGCCCCCGGGCCTTGAGTTTGACACATGTGCTCTGAAGGAACATCGGACTTTCAGCTTCTCCACCATGTTTCTCATGTTTTCTCTGTGACTCTCTGCTGCTTCCTGCTGGACAGGTGTTACTTACTTACAGGTCAAAAACACTCGGCAGGTAATCGCTCTTATAGTTTCACAGTATATACTATATTACTTTACCATTTAGGAGTCAACCATACAGTCTAAAGGCGGACCAAATTAAGCTTTACATGAAGAGAAATATAGTTACTAAATGCTCTCTAGTTTCTTTGATATTTAATCTCTTAGTACAGCTTCCTGCTTACCTTACAATCTTTCATTTTTAACTTTGAAACCCCCAAGAAAGCAGTTGTAGAAGTGCAAACATTTGACTAACTCCATCATTTGTAAACAATTCATAATTCAAGTAATCCATTAGTCATTCCATGGAAAATTCATTGACAATAATTGAAGGCTGTCTACATTTTTGATTTCTCATATGCAACCATGATTTGTTCCTTTTTTTCCCCCATTGTTAACTAAATATAGGTCAATTTTGTAATGTTGTTTTTGAAGTTATCATTATGCATTGTGAGTTTTTGATGGACATTTCTCAGAATTCCCTCGCATTTGTGACAATATCATACATGGATTGACCCAAAAATAAATTTAACAGATGTATTTATAATGTTGTTGCGAGCCATTAAACAACTATAAAATCATAGGATTGGGTAGACTTGGCAATGCAAGTATATTTTATTTACAGTTGTATAAACAAGATGATTCAATGCAAGACCATTACTTGAAAAGGTAAGAAAAACAAGTGATGGTGTGTGTATGTGTATGTGTGTGTGTGTGTTTTTGTTTGTGTGTTTGTTTCATGCCAGTGAATCACAACTGTTGTTAGCGTGTGTTACTAGACATTCTCAGCTGCAGTCGTAATACAAGCGGTACAATCTCCTCAAATCTATCTACACCACATCTATTTACAGGGAGTGCTCCACACAGCTCAGCTGACTGTACACGGCAACAACACGCATCCAAAAACAGACCCAAGCACTGATAGTAACACGTAAGCATGCAAAGGCCAGAATGAGAACATGATCAGAAAGCAAACTCCTGGTTCGAGTTAGAAAACCAAATTCTGATTTGCACTTTGTGTAGTTGTTTCAAAGGTCATTATTAATCTTCTAAAGGCTGTGTAGATACTGTATCTGAAGTGAAATGAAAAGATTGTGGAATTAAAGTGGAGAAGTTAATATGTCTGACTGATGTTACTCTGTTGTAGTTTCTCGACTAATCAATATTCTTATTTGACTGTTTGGGAGACGCCTCAGCATAAAATGCTATGCAGTGCCAGAGAGCAGACACGAGGTGATTCAACAAACAGCAGTGGTTTCTCAGCTCCAGAAAATGGGAAACGGCCTGTTTTTACGCCTAACCAAGACCATGCTTTGAATTCACTCGGGTTTCCTTCGTGAAAAACTGTCCGGCGTTACGCCTGGACGAGGTTTTGCATGAAAGACCGAGTGACGGTTAAGTTAAAAACCTGGCCCTTTGATGCAGCCCCTTAGAGACAGGAAATGAGAAAGACTGCTGCGGCAGGAGAGAGGAAGAGAGAGGGCGCCCCCAAAAGCAACATGGCTCACGAATGAGAACATGTTTTCGTACATAAGAACACCAGTCTTAATTAACTGTTTGATCAGATCTCCAAATATTCAGTGAGTTCAGCTTGCACCTTGCTTTGAATGACAGTTAAGCTTAACAGAATGTCTTTGAGTTCTTAGAAGAACACAAAAACATGCATTTGGTTGATAAGTACACAATTAAAGGGGAAAACAACTACAGAATCTGGTATACAGCCTTCAAAATAAAAATGTCATCATTCAGATACATAAAGCTCTTATTCATATACAAGCGCTCACATGCTCCCATCATCTTCACAAGTTCCTTATCCTTAGTGCCATTAATAGTGCTTCTCAAAGAAAGCAACATCTTCTAAAAACCTTTAAAGTGTAGATAAAAACATAGGTAGTTTGCATTAAAAAATAATTGATATCGATTGAAGCTTACAGTACGTCTTGTATTGCGGTATATGCTGTTAGGAAAACCTATCACTATGGTATTTAAGCCCTAATTAAAGTGATATGTTAAGTACAGTACTTCCTTAAACTTAACTAACTAAACCTGGCTTGCTAAACTTATACAGCGGGTCAGGAACTTTGAACATCAAACATTAAGTCTCTGTGAGTGAGCAAAATGACAAAAAAACAAGGTTAAATAAGTTTGCTAATATACAGAAGAAAAGATTGTATATGTGAGTCAGATGGGTTCTTCTGTGCATGCTCAGGGACCCTACAAATATCTAACGCCAGGTAATCCTGACTGTCAAAAAAGGTGCAAGTTCAGTGTTTTTCAGACACTTCTTCAGCAAGCAAGTTTCCTCCGAAGCTTCCCTCGACTGGCGGTGAAATGAAAGCCTCGACTTGAGTGGTGAAGGGAACGAGGAGATGGCTTCTCCCTTCTCCTTCTCCCCGTCCACTTCTTCCTCTCCTTTTCTTTCCCTCGTCTCGTTTCCTCTCTCCTCTGGGAGCGGACCTCGGCGTCTCCCCTCTCTTTAAACCACGGTGCTGACAGACGGGTCAGACAAGTTGAGCTGGCCCGTGATGTCAGTAGGTGGGTACTGCTGCAGAGACGAAGAGAAATGGGGAGGGAGGAAGAAGACAGACAGTCATTTCTAGACAAAAGCAGCATTTGCCAGAAGGTTAGCATACTTATCTAGACATTCATATCTTATTTTAAGAACACCTGTGCTTCATTTCGGCAGAAATAAGGAAGCATGAGGGTTCTCTAACCCCTCTCGGGCAAACCACAGTTTTGTCGTTTTATTTTGTTGGATCAGTTTGGATTTTTTGCTAAGGTTGTGCCTGAGGTGGGCTAGTTGGGAGAAGACGTAAAGTCCGGAGTCTCGAGACAACAGCACATTTGAATCAGGCATCATTTGTTTTTCAGGTGATAATTTCCTGCCAAGGGAAAACAGGCAGGTCATTTATCTCCCCACAGTCATTTGTACGCATGCAGACAGGCGGCCCATTCTAATTTTAGCTCATGGACAAGAAGATGAATTTCTGAATTTCAAAGTGCTGTTGTGCCGGACTCTTACGTCCATTCCCGGCTCCAATGTGCTTCTTATAAAGCAGAGTGCGTTGAATTGTTAGGCGTCTACAGTGCTGAGAGGGAAAAACAAGATCTCGTTTTCATGCAGGTGCTTAGTTTCTATGGCAACTGTGATTTTGCCTTGAGTATTTTGAGAGTGTGTGGTCTGACAGCCGTAAGCCATATATTGCAGTGCTGAGGCTACTTTTCCTGCTAACAAGTGCAAATATAGAAACAATCTCTGGTTATCATTGTGAGTGTAGTCGATTGCATCATACTTAGAGCTTGTAACATGCATTTCTTTATAGAATCGGCTCATGTTTTGGAACACAGATTGGGTGGAAACTCATCTACATTTTGTCCTGATTTCCAACTTGCCAGCATAATCCTGACTCACGGCATGTTGGAAAATCCTGTTTCAATAATCCAGTGTGCAAGAGAGCATCTTTTGTTTACTTAATGCATTACTAATGAATATTTTACGTTGCGTAACCAAAACACTGAAGAGTCTTCAGTGTACCCATCTTGTTTGTCATTCTCAATTGAGCAAGATTTTAGGATTAATGTGCCTCTCTTTTTAAGCCGATAGAGCCAATACATTCAAGCATATGAGTTTAAGAAGCTGTTATGATGCAACCAACATGCTGACAGATGGAGCGACATCCATTCTGAGTTGAGAAACGTCATATTTTCTGAGAGTCAGAGTGAATGTCCCTCATCTCCTTGACCCGCAGGTTGCATCATCATCATATGGCTTACAGCCCCCATGTGGGTCTCCTCTTGTCTTGTACCTTGAGGGCCTGCTAACAGCGCGCCCTACTGGGGTCAAGTGGACCAGCAAAAAGAGAGACAGCTCTCTGACATCACAACTACAGGTAATGGTTATAAAGCTATGTATGCAACACAGCTATGGTGATTCTTCTTAGGATATAACTACAGAGGTTATTTCTGTTGCTACAGCTAGGACAGGTACAGTCGTCGGCATGCTTGCAGAGGGAGAGAGGAGCAGTGTGGCATGTGGGTGAGGGACACTGACACTCAAGTCCATTGATATCCATTAATATAAAAGAAGAACATTTATATAAAATCAAAATAATGGTCAAAGACTGGGAATGGGAAATCTTGCGATTGGAGCATCTACACTGTTTTATTTGACCACTTTGAGCCATTTATTCAGCTATATGGCTCTCAAACAGGCATCAGAAACCTTCTCCTAAAGATGACGTTCCCATACAATGAAACCAGATTGTCAATTTGGTTTCGAGGGAAACATTTATCGTGTTCGAAACTTTGACCGTAATACAACGGGAGAAAACACCCACGGAACGTTATTGAGAATGCGGTTAAGTTGTATGGGAACATGACTTTGTAGGAGACAAACATAGTAACAATGGCGATCCCACTCTTCTTCTCTTCATATGTGACCAATGCTATTGAGAAACCTCCAGGGGAGAGTAAAGGTGGTTCGATTCAAGGCAGAAAACATCGATTTGAAATAAAAGACAGTTAAAACAAGAGAAAGAGAGAAAGACATGAGATCAAATAAAAACACACAATAATAGTTTTGTTGTAACCCGTTAGTTTAGCTGACGTAGGATACGTCTCCCCTGGGAAGAAGCTTTTCCTTGAAGGTGTCTGTGCTATCTCCAGAGATCATTCTGCTTTTTAATCTCATGCCAGATTTGAACCAGCTATATGTGGAGGAGCAGCTGGGCACAAATGAGTGCGGTTCAATGGTTTGTCAAGAGTACTCCAAGCGTATGGAGTACAGTCTCCCAACCGCAACGAGCAGGACCTTTCAACTCAACTGTAAATGAGCGGAGAAAACCTGACACTCTCAATGTGCTGCAACAAAGGAGTCAAGCAAAGGTAAAGAGATGGTGGTTTAAAAATAAAGAAAGCATAGCTCATATTTGTAACACAGTGAGAGTCTAAGGCTTTGCAGTTTGTAGTTCGGAAAACAAAACAAAAAATATAATTGAAACATAAAAGAAGGCCGTCATCAACACCTGCAATATACCCTGAATAAGGCATGCACAGTTCGGATCACAAGGACACTGAAAAATAAACAAGAATTATGACAAAGAAAATATGATCAAACCAAAAGTAAATTGATCAATAGAAATCCATGAGTGTAATCCTGAAATAGACATGTTGATAAAAAAAGAATAAGACATTAGTTCTCTTCCACACGAGCACCGGCCATCGCGACAACCTTGAAAATGGATTGTTTGGGGGGGAAAAAATGACAAAACACCAGCCCATGCTTTTTCGAACCAAAAGCAAAGACAGCGGCTGAAACCCAAACAGAGGAAGTGGGAGGTGCAAAGAAACAATGGATATACGAAGGATCAAGCAAGTCAAAAAGACAGGACATGGACATAGATATATATAACTTGTACGTAAAGGACAGTACACACACACACACACACCACAACACCACCAATACAGCACACAATCGCCAGAATCCACGTCCAGACCATAGGCGGGGAGTAAGAGCAGCCCAAGACAAAACACCACTGGCAGACTGCTTGCTTTGTCCCCCCCCCCCTTGATCAGAGGTCACTAATCCCATCAAAAGCCCTAAAAGACCCTGGCTTGCTCGCCATATTCAGAGCCCAGCTCCTGGCCTGACCTGAGTTCCTGCCCTGATGCCCTCCAGCCTGTAAGAGGATCTACAGATGCTAAATGGTGATGGCTGATCGATGGTGAACGGACAGACACGTGGCAGAGGCCGTGGAGCCGTGTGGAAATGGTGGGTGAGGACATGGGACTCCCTCGCGGTCGGTATGGAGATGTAGGCAGAGAGGACAGAGGAGGAGAAAGGAGAGAAGTAGAGACAGAGGAGGAGGAGGAGTAAAGAGGGGGAAGATGTCGCTTCTTCGTCTCCTTACCGTGTCTTTGGAGGACCTACGTCTCTTGATGCTGGAGGCCAGGTTGGTACTGATGGACCTAAAAGAGGCTTTCTTTTGGGGGTCGGGCTCTGCTCTACCACTTTTCCTATCCTAAAATGAATATATGTAGAAACATTATTCATGTCCTCTGGCCAGGGTGACAACCGTGGTTTCACCCGTTCTGTTTTTCCCATCAACACCAACACCACCCTAGTCAATGACCTTATTGTATGTGGTCTAAATAGAGAGAGGGTCCTTATGAGAAAGACTACCGCATTTGGAAATATCAAATGCGCAAAGAGGGAGAAAGAAAGGGATAAAGCCTGTTAGATGTGAGAGTGGAAGTAGTCTTTTCAGTCTGAATGAGGGCATTGGTCAACTGCTGACACATTCACTCGACCCCCTTCAAATGCATTGGAATGAGTGATGACTAGTAAAGATGTCAGTGGGTGTGATACCTACGTTACACTTCTAAATATATTCTGCCTGAAGACAAAGATTCCACTTTCTCATCTCAACAAACAAGCAAATTTAAAATTGGATCCACTAAACAAATATAACTAAATGCAGTTCTTTCAAAAACAGAGATAGAAATGAAAAGAGAGAAGCATTTAACCGTATCCTTAAAAGATGGCCCTCATACCCTCAGAGAGCCCAATAGCTATTCTTAACAAAATAAATAATAGTGTTTGTGTGCAAAATAAAAACCCATATTAAGGTATTCTTACATCCTGAGTCTCTAGAGAGGAAGAGGGCTGCATAGGGGGAGAAAAGGAAAATAAAATAAATGTCCATCCACTTGATCGTTATTACTTTAAAAAAGATCCTTAAGCAAAAGCCAAGGGAACCAAAAAGAGCGAGGTGTTTAAAGAAGACTTAGCAAAGCAAACATCCACATCCAAAGCCAGGCAAGTATAAAAACGTCGAGCTATAGTATCGGAGGCCATAAAATGCATATCAAAGAGGGAGAACAGCAGCGACAAAAAGTCAGTAAGTTAAGCCCATTTAAAGTCATTATACCTCAAAGCGGTATAATGGAAATTCACCCCACACGCAAGGGAATGGGATGGAGAATGGAGAAAAGTGCATTTAAAATAAATGTATAAAGAAATGATCACGCTACTACAGCTGCAAAATATATTATTTATCCGAGTTAGAGTGCAAAAAACAAAATATTTTCTATTCTCTATATTTCTTTAAAAAAAAAAAAGCGTTCTAGGATGGATGTTAGTAAAGTATAGGTGGAGGATGGGTGAGTAGTTGCAGGGGGGGAGGCCCTTCAGCCGGGCGGGGCAGTGTGGTGTGAATTTCAACATGCCAGAACGTTTTATGGATGGAGAGAGGGGAAAAAGGAGGAAAACATAGAATAATTAAACATAAAACAAATAGCATGACAAATCAATCCTGGCCAGCACTGGCCCCCGCAGTTCATCCTTTTTCATCAGGTCACATGACTAGGCTCTTTTAGGGCACCGTTATATCACCCCGCCATCCAGCACTTTCTCTTTTTTTCTAATGACATGGTGGCGGGGAGGATAGATGAGCGCCGGCAGAGAAGTGATTGGCGCACGACATCAATCGATTTTTATTGCAGGTATATAAAATAAAAGTATTTTCCTGTTGAAAGATGACATCTCATGTTAGTAAATGGAGGAAGTGCCACTAACTGTATGACTCTTGGTTCAGGAAAAAAACGGCCAAGGTGACGTCTCTTCTTGTAATCTTTCCTTCATATTTCACACATATGTGAGGCGGCAGGAGCTCAGAGCCCTGATGAGGGGCTGCGTGTGCACAGTCCGTACATGCACTGCATGCTGGACCATCGGATGGAGAGCGGCATGGTGACTCGTACAGCGGCCGCCTGTTTCTGGTCCGAAACCAAAAGCGAGCCGCTGCAGGGCGTCATCATTAAATACCATATTCATCATCATGAGTTTTTTGTTTTCATCCCAAACTGACTTCAGTTTCTGTCTCCTTCAGACGGTGCACTTCTGAGTAACCTCTGTTATTAAAGGGAAAACTGGAAGGCAGACCTGTAGCCTCGTAGTGATGTAGTGGTCGGCAAAAACCTTCTGCACCAGTGATCACGCTAGAGATCAGTCACATAAATCTATATGATGTACATTTATAGAACAGCCTATAAAAAAATTAAAATAAATAGTGATGTTTTACCAATGTAATCAAATCAAATCAAGGTTTATTTATAAAGCACATTTAAAAGCGATTTTTGGTCGGGCCAAAGTGCTGTACATGTAATAACTACAATGCATCATTTGTGATAGAAAGAAACATACAGAGTGCTTTTATGTGTAATTGTAAAATACTTTTTTTCAACTAACTCAATTTTCTATTTAGATACAAGACTACAGCGTTGGGCATGCCTCTCTGTAGGAATGCCTTCATTCATTTTAGACAGAAGACACGTTGTAAGTGTTACCAACGTGTTTATGAGACCTAGCAAGATTGCTTTAGTGAGTTTTATATCTGTATTAACTGATTTAAGTTTTTATATCTGAATTAACTGATTTCTTGTCCACCTTACGGGAAAGGAACAAAGCTGTGACACATTATCCCCTTGTTGATAATGCAAAGTAGTTAGTAATCGATTGCATAATTACATGTACAGCAGATACAGAGCAACATAAGCGTGAACGTAAATCCAAACTTCACTGTTCTTTTTGATTTGCATGGATTACTGAACGAGCCTATCGAGCATACATAATGTCTCTCAAAAATAAACGTTCCAACCAAGAGATCCAACACTACAAACCAGAAGGATAAACAAAATGACAAAAAAGAGACACTAAATGATAACGCAGAGATACAGAGCAACTAAAAAGAGACATTAAATGACTACAAAGAGACACTAATGACTACAAAGAGACATTAATGACTACAAAGAGATCCAGAGAAATCCAAAGAGACAAATGACAACAAAGAGACACTTAATGACAACAAGAAGAGGCAAAACAAATGTAAAGTCTGTGTGTCTTGCTCCTATGTAGGAGAGGTGTTTGGGTCTGTTGTATGTCTGTTCCCAGGTTCTCATAATCTCGCAATGTTTGTACAGAACATCCGTTACATGTCGTACATTAGACACAGACAGATTGAATCTTAGATTTTAAAATAGCTTAAAAAGGCTGTATTTATTATCAGAATATAAAAAGGTGCTTAATGAAGGTTAGACTACCTCCACTACATCTCTGTGACTACAGCTGCTTAAAGAATGCTTTAGGCATGCCATTAGTACCATGCATGCACCTTTATATTTTTTGCAAACTTATATGATGAGGGCTTTTAAGCAGTATCAGCATATAGAGGATGGGAGATGTAGTGCATAAACAGATATTGTTAGTCAGAAGTGCACATTCTCTCAGGTTACGCCTCGTTTGTTTAAAGTTTTGAGGGTGCACAGTACTACACCCACCTGAGGCAGTAGAAGCACACAATGGCATTCAAACACACGAATGATGTCAACTATGGACTCCAGGTTTCAGTGCTTGCTGCACTAAGGAAGGAAGAGGGCCACATGAACTGTGATCTTAGATTTTCCATCGTGATGAGCTTGTGTCCTACATGACCAAGTTGTCGTTTTAAATTTGTGGAAATTAGAACACGGTGAATAATCTAATCTGTGCACCCAAACAGTATGAATAATATTCTGAATAGAACATATTGTCTGAGCTCAACTTGACTTTGTAGACTCCCTGTGTGCTCCTTGCATGAGACTCAATCCATTACCGCGGTTATATTTAGAGAAAGATTGTGTGTATTCTGGCTCCAGGGCTCACAGTGACGCTCGATGAGCAAGATGAGCATGCATGAGCCGCCTTTGTTCAGCGATGCATAGAAATCGACATGATCATCACTGACAGGAGTCTGAAGCGTGAGGTCTACAGTACGGGCAGTTGTCCCTCTCCTTTCCCACCCTGCAACTTCTAAGCTATCCAATCAGGGAGTGAAAGTGTAAAAAAGAGAAGGAGGGGGTGCTCCAACACTCCACAGCCCCATTTGATTGCATTAGGAAACGGGGGCAAATCATGTTCTTTACCGGCTGAGTGGAGGACCTTACTGCTTGATTGTTGCTTAAAGAGTTGGCTCACTCAAATTACGAAACAGAAATTGATTGCAGAAGATTTGTTTTAGGAGGGTAAGTATGAGTAACAGCACAGAAGCTAAGGAATGTACTGCTGTGGGAGGAGGCTGCGGCAAACTTATTTTTAGCCACCTGAAAAAGGCCAAACTAATAAAGATCAATATCGGTATAACTGTACTCTATACTGAGAATGTGTGTACTTTACTTGACAGCCATTTATGAATAGTGGCTAATGCTGTTACTTATGCTCTCTTCAAAGCCAACAGAGAAATAATACATTTGACCTTGCTGAACACAAACGTTACTGGTCTACTTCTGCCTTGATTGGTTCATTTGTTTGGTTATGGTTTGACAATGTACCCAAACTCTCCCTTTCAAACACCAAAGGGGGTGCGTGACTGTGGTTAGCTAAAAGTATTACACTCACTAGCCTCATAAAAGCCCACTTCAGAAAATCTAAGCTATCTCTTAGTTTAAACCATAGTTTATGCCTGCTTCTGCTTGCATGGATACGTTTCGAGGCGTATTTGGTGTCTGCATAACGCACACTGCAGTTACTAAAGAGACACACTGTCACATTTACAGTTCTGAAAATACTGGACGTGGCACTGCAGTGTGATTGAGTGTGGGCATTGATTTTCATCTTTATGCTCTATTTGCATTGTGAGCTCCTGGCTGCTGTCAGTATGGCCTTCAGAGTGAAGGCAATCAATGAGGACACAATCAAAGTGCATCAACCGGACTGTAATCACTGTTTTTAGGATGTTTCTGGCTAGACATTTGCTTATTATGGTAGGCTTTCCATGTCCACGTCATCTGACCTTATGAAGTGTGTAAGCGCCACAGCAGCAGCAGCAGCAGCAGCTTGGAAAATACTATATAGGTCATGCAATGGACGCATAGGAGGTGAAGTTTTAGTCGGGTGGCCTTCATGTTAGAGGGTCGCAATGCTAATTATCTTACTGTTAATCTAACAGCCAGAGATGGCATGGGGGTGGAGATGGTTCTGCTAGTTAGTTACATACTAATGAGGGGGTCCCTCCCATCGCTTGACTTCCAGAGACCTCCTTACTGTCCTGCAGGCAAACACAAGAGACACGTTGGCCTCTAGGAACTGTGATCTACACGGTGGCCACTGAGGATGCTTTACAGTGCATGAAGGCATCCGAGATCACAGTTTCTCAGACGGTGATCTGGCAATCTGACCACCACCACTCAAGTGCAAAATGAAAAGCTTCGAAAGAGGCTGAGAGTCCAATCGATCCCCCATTAGTAGGGGGCTCTGTTGGCTCTCTTGCAACCAAGTCTCAGCCTTTCCACCCTGGGTGTGAGCGAGCAGAGGGGATCAATCTTACCTGCAGGTTCTTCCTCCAAACATTGACCGCCGCAAAGGCCAGCTGCATCTGCTTCCTGCGGGCGTCTTTATGGCGCTTATAGGCGATTTCAATGAAGATTAGGAAGATACCTGCTGCAATCCCACCGGCCACCAGCATGAATACCCCTGTTAGGACGGACAAACAAACACAGAGCAGAGAAAGATATACGTTAGATGCTGATCTCACATCGCCGCTCCCACTGATCGTGAATGCATGGTCTGCCAGTCATGATCAGCGGTCGCCCCTTCCTTTTCAACCAGCTCCTTTTGATGGAGGCAGCTGCAACCCACACAATATTAATTGAAGTCCACAACCACACACGTCACAGCACAAGATAATATACGGCACACTTCCACAAGGCAACCACGCCAACACTAACACAACGATATTGTAAAGGTATTGGACAAAAAAGGGCTACAGTACCTTACCACTGCAGTTTTTGTCCAATCACTTTTAACGCTTTTTCTATGCCTTATGGACCATACCTGCCATGTTTTCAAAGGTGAGTGTGGCTGGGGCATTGCTCCTTGAGTCACACTCCTGGTATCTCACCCAGGTTTTATCTAGGTCTTCCATGAAGCCATTCTCATGAGAACTGCAAGGGGTTGGGGTTGGTGGAGAGAGAGGTAACAAAGTTAATACACGCTGTGATTGGCGCAATACCTGAGCTGCCTACTCCCAGATAGCTACACAAATGAGACAGAGACAGCAGGACAGGTGCACAGACAAACATAGACAAACAGACAGATAGGGAAGGGAAGGGGAGATACAGAGATATAAGATGTGACATAAGGCAATGTATTAAATGGTTAATAAAAAAGGTCAATACCTGACCATGAAATCATACTGATAAGAAACAAAAAGAAAGTCATACGAGTAATGCAGCTTTGGCTGGGACAGACCTGAGAATGGCCAGGGACACATTCTGTTTCCAGGGGCTGTCCTTGCGCATGCCTATGCCAAAGCCCGAACGGAAAAACAGCTCTCCCGTAGTCACCAGGTCGCACTTCTGCGAAGCTTCAAACTCCAGCACCGCAGAGTCCCAGATGAAAGCATGCAGCTTGCTGTGGGGGAGGGGAAGGGAGGAGGAGGAGGAGTAGGAGGGAGGAGGGAGGAGGGGAAGGAGGGGGTTACGGCGCAACAGTACAATGATTTACATACACAATTATGGCTCCCACCCCTCTCTCTCTCTCGCACACCAGATCGTGTGTGTCATACAGCGTTTACCAGCAATCTCTACCGCTCTTATGGCCCAAATGAAATCCAATGCCAGATGGGTGAGGGCACGTCCCCCATTGGATTCCCCCCATCTGAAAGATGTTCGTCTTGGTACAACCTGAAAAAGGGTGCTTCTTGACTCAATGTTAGCTTAACCTCACACTTGTGCCAATGCTGTTGACACGTGTCTTGCTCCTGTCCCTGCATCTGTCTTGGCTGGGCAATGGGCCCGGATCAGAGGGAGCGTTGCAGTAAGTCCTGCCACCTCCGTCTGATCCAAAGGTCCATGTCCCCCCCCCTGAGCTGACTGGACTGACCCTGGTCTGTGTGTCTGATAAATCGAGCAGCCGGCCGACACTAGCTGTTGTCGGCCCGGCCTGGCCGAGACTCACTTGTCACGCACAGCCTGGATAGCCTCGGCGGCACTCTCATAGTTGTGCTTCTCCATGTGGCGGTACATGGTGCTAAGCTCCACCTGCCGCCGGAAGTAGATGTCCACGGAGCTCTGCTTCACCGTGGCGTAGATGAACTTGTCCGATGGGTTTCTCAGCTGGATGCAGAGACCGGGACAAGACACAAACAGTCGAGTCATGATTACTAATTGTGAATAACAAATGTAATTTAAGACATATGTTTGTGCGGTCCACTGAAAAGAAAGAGAAACAAATGGAGCAAGATACAATCTGGGACCCCATCTGCTCATGTCTGGGAATTACATTTTTTGGTTGTTTAAAATCAGCTTGTTAACTGGCTTCAACCTGGTCTTTCTCCATTAACTCCATTATTGCGTTTCAAGATGCTAATCATACAGTAAACAATTAATCAGCACACTGAAGAGGAGGTCTTGGCCGAGATATCCACTGTTTCACCAGTAACTGTTACATTGGTCCTAATACCGCCCGTTACACACCCTTGGGTCATTGATGCCGGTGATGCGCTCCTCAGGTCGGTCCAACACCAGGAAGGCAGCCAGGTTGGCAGTATAGGATGCCACAATTATCATGGCAAATCCGGCCCACACCATACCTAGGATTCTCGCTGAGAAGCTACGCGGTGCACCTGTGTGGTGAGTTAAAAAAAAAGAAAGGATAAGACCTTTTACTACTTTAACAACTACTACTGCAAATAATGAACCATCTACCTTAATATAAAAACTTGCATAACTTTACATAGAAATACAAATATAGCCCTCTAAAAATACCAGACATTAAAAGGAAACTGGAAGACAAATGAAACAAATCATTAGAACAGGTGTAAGCTGTTTAAAGATGGGATCTGTCACTTTCTTTCTCAACACAATTTGATTTGAAAGGTACTACTTTGTCATCCTCAAAGAAAAACATGACAGCAAGGCATCGCCTGGAACCACACACGCCTTCATTTTTGTGATTATTCCAACTGCGAAACTGTGTACAGACCAAAGTACTCAACAGCATAACAGTGCTCTGGCAGAAAGGCTACATTTACTTGCGATTAAATGAGGGTTTAGAAATTTCCAGGAATGACTTTCCTTTATAATCTTACCTTCTCCAATACCGGAGTTCAACAACACTCCCCAGGAGAACCACATAGCAGATGATAAGGTGAGGGCATCTTCTTCTTCTTCTTCACTGTTTACTTTAAATCTTCCAAACGGGCTAGAGGGAAGAAATTGGGAGGGTTGCAGGAGATAAAATGAGAAATCGCAGAGAACCTGTAGGGAGGAAAACCCTGGCGACCCCAGGCAGGGAAGGGAACTGAACATGAGCGGGCAAAGCAAGTAGGAAGACGAACTGGGAAAGAAAACAGACAAAGACAGGGAGAGAGCAGTGGGATGGTTGGAGCCGATCTTCACCTCTTTCTGCCTCCGTGTCCATACCGAGGTAAGATCTACAGCGCTCAGGAGTGCATGTACACACATTTCTCACACACACATTCACCCATTCAGTTGTGATTACACGTACAACACACACATGGGCACACGCATACACACAGATGTCCCCCTTGTACCTGAACCGGTCTAGTAGGTAAAGCATCACCGCCACCACATGCACCGAAAGACCCACCAGCAGCCACAGCGTGCTTTGGAACGGCTGCATGAACGAGTCCAGTGTACTGCGAGGTATTTCCTGAAAACACACATTGCAATTGTCATTAAATTGAACCAACAACTTTGATTACATTTGCATATTATTGTCACAGTGAACTTCAAGGTGGCATTTAATCAAAGAAACAAGGTCATTGCAAGTGTTGACAGTAGATAGATACACAAGGGATAAAAATCTTTTCACAATAGAGCTATACATTTGGCCTAATAGAGCATCAAATGGACTAAATGAAGACACTTACCTTTTTAACAAGGATGGTGAGACCTTGATATTTAAAGGGCTTGGAGAATTCGATGTACTGGGCTCGTTCGTTGTTAATAGTCAGCGGGGCTACAATCATGTCAGCCAGGCCCCCCAGGAGCTCTCCCATCATGCCATTCCACTCTTTCTTGTTACTGTTGTTCACCTGAAGCCCCAAAAGGAAAGTGTTAAATGAGAATCAGATCCTGCTGTCGTCTAGACCACAGAATGTTTGCAGACTTTAAGGATTTAGGATAGGCCAAGTGGGGATATAAGTTCTTAAGGCGTGCTTCAAAACTTTGAAACTGGCTCTGGGGATCATAACAGAGCTTGCTTATTTTCAGGAATCAATAAGATCATGCATTGAAGGACACCAAAATTGTAGAGTATCGTGCTCATGCGAACGGTTTCTCTGGGTTAAAGATGAATGCTTCCACAGAAAGCCTGTTTAGATTAAATATAAGTGGAAACTCAGGTGATTACTCTTTGTAGGTTCATCGTTACGAGCGACCCCTTTCAAGTTTGTCAAATTGATTTTCATTTGAATGATAGCCCTTTTAAGGCGTTGTCCAAATTGATTTAAGTAGAGGACTATTACGTTTTATTGCTAACCCGTCCACATTAAGATTCTCTCACATAAGTTATAAAACAATATTTATTTAGGGATAATATTTAAGCAAAGGATATTGTAAAACATGACTTATTGTCAACACCTTACCTGAATGAACAAGCCCTAACCAATGGGCAAACCCATAGATCGACTACATTTGTGATTTAACAAACTAATAAATAGTGTATGATGTATAATTCTTCCGTGTTGATGCTAGTCAACTGTTGAGGCTCAAATCCTCAATTTACCTAGAAAATATCCAACCTTTATTCTTTCTATTGTTAGCCAATGTTAGCTAAGCTATCGTTAGCTCAAAAACGTGAGCTAAACATAATGTGCTAGCTAACTGTAAATATAAGTTAGCAAACTGTTGAGGGGAAAATGTCTGTCAATATTTGTGCATACATAAGATGAAGTATTTTGCCAATGAAAACCAATCTGCAAATCCTAGTTGACTAAAACACTCATGGTGATGGCTGCTCAGTGTTTAAAAGCTGACCCCAGTAGACCTGCTGGACTTTTGATACCTGGGGTCTCCGTTTTATGACCGCCTATTGCTTCAGCTCTGAATAGTTGTTAGATCACTACTGTTAGTGGAATAAAATAGGGAGATTAAAAAGAAGTTAGGTATTGAATGTGAGGATTTGCGTGCAATATGTGCCTCATGCAAACATACAACAAAGAGCGCTGTAAAAGTAAAACTAACCCGCTCCTGTGTTCCAAATTTCCCATCAGCCACCAGGTGCACCTCATAGGTGAAGTTCATGGTCATAGCCAACTTGATAAGGAGATCAACACAGAATCCGTAACAACATTGGGGAACAATTGGGCGTCCTGTAATAAAACCAGCAACAGTTCAAAGTTACAATCACTCTTAAGGCAACACGTACGTTTGTTAATCTAAAGGCGGCGAACGAAGACGGAACGAAATGTATGACACTGCGGACGACCACACACAGTCACACTGTTGCCAGAAACACAAACACCAAGCATGTCCTAGCATCCCCACAAACACACATTCTGAATGGCACACTCAGCTACATGCATACATATATAGATACCTACTGCATATATATGTATGCATCTCCAGTGGGTGTTTGGCGGGTGCAGTAAAAGCACAGAGATAATATAAACGTCCCTGATAGGTTACCTGGGATGGTCTCATTGGGCCCAGTGCAGATAACCTTTTTTATTAAGACTCCATTTAATGTCATTTCCTCGTGGCATGTTCCATCCGGTTGAGTTGGTTTCACATACACAAATGGCTCCTGGTGAATCGTCACTATCTACAACAGATGGGACAGAAAGCTGTTTATCACATAGACAGATATGGATCTGTTCAGATCCTGAGGGACTTTAGCGAGAGAGAGAGAAACAACATGCATGGAAAACCCCAGCAGATACACAAATACCCATGTACAAACTCCCAGATACACATGGACGCACACAGACGGATGAATGTAAAAATAAGTGACAAGGATACAGATGAGAGGTTCTTTGGACGCCTAAGACAAATTTGAAGAGATCAGAAGTCATGGCAAATATATCACAGCATTTCTTCACTCCCCTCGGAGAAACAAGTGTAGGCGAGCTGTCCAACACGAGTATATCAGCTCAGGTCTGGATCTGTGTAGACAAGAATGTCAGATTTCAGCAGCAAAGCAAAGGCGCCCTACCTTTAGTCGAGTGGACATCTGGAAGCCCTGTGGTTTCTCCGTCTCTCCTCCAGGCCAGATGATCTTCCGCTGATTGTTCATTACCACCTGCGGATGCCACACACAGTACAGTAGCATCGGTGAGTGCTGACAGAGGTGTGGTGCTGATGAGGCTCCAGCACTGGGGGTGAGCACCACTAATGAGTCAGCTTTATATAAGTGCAGCTCAGTGGATTCTTTATTTACTTCATAAACCTCTGACTTATACCGGAGGGTTTCAGGAACTTATATTAATCACCCCTATCAGCAGTTGAGTGAAGTGCTGATCCTCGCAGTGCGTGCTTTCGCTGTGTTTGCATTGCCGGCCTGCTTAAATATGCAGCATCGACTACAAATGAGTTTCATTTCATTTGACAGATTAATCTCAACACAAGGTCAACAAGCTTGTTTTTCCCAGAGATACAGCAGCATTTCAAAGTCTTCCTCAGCAGATTGAGCCTGCTCAGTTGTCATGGAGTTACTTCTCTGTTTCTGAGGTCAAGAATAGATTATAGCCGATAAAAAAACTAAAACAAACAAGGTAATATTTCGGAGAAAAGATATTCTATGTGAAAGACACTGAATATTCTCTATGATTATAGTGTCATAGACTTGCAAGAAAAAACTAAAATAGTAGTACTCATTTAAACAAAAACGAATGAAATGAATGAAATTAATTGTGTTATGACAAAAATTGGAGTGAAGCACACTTGTTATATAACAACAAGTTGACAGCTATGGGATACCCCAGTTGATGAGTCTTAATATGCAAATATATTTCATGCTTTTATTATTAATGCACGCCTGTTCTGAAGGCATTCAATGCTTGTTTAAACGTGCATGATAGGTGATGCAATCCAGGGAACATTGTGTACTCCTTTGTTTCTCATGTTATATTACAGTGATAGGGTTAAAGAAATTCAGATACAGGATATTTATGTTCTTCCACTGTCAATTTGTTTTTGCTGTTAAGTCAAACTCCAAACATGATTAATATTTGCAATATGGCTGTTTCTTACATTGTTCTTTTCCAAAAGGCACTCAAATCTTGAATGTTGTCGTCAAGCCCTTTGATTTATGTACACCAATATCAGAAATCACAAATGTGCCTTGTGGGCGCTTGTTGGCACCTTGGTTTTTATATTGAAACAAATGGAAAACAGCGGCTGCCTGAAAGGTAACACCTTCGTCTGAAAAACGAGGTTGTGCTTTGTAAAATGCTCGGCAATAAAAACAACATTTTATACCTACTTAAGGACTCATGAAGTAAATTGTTAGGCTTCATTTTCAGTAACATGCAACTCCTGCTTGCCATCGAGGTTTGATTCAAGACAACAAAACCACTTCATTTCATACGTTTGCAGTCATTACTTCACACACCCCTAATGTTGGTGGTACTGACATCTTCCAGCAGAGACACACTTTAGAAAGGGTAGTATGTTTAACTTGTACGGTCGTTTCCAAACATGTAGCAATAAAAAACATGTAATATTTGCAATAGCTTTCACAAATCCACTGCGACACACTGCTGCATCTTGTGTGGGCTCTGGCTGAACTGCAATGCTTTGTCCTAAATTAACTGTGGTGTACTAAAGATAGAAAACTGGAGCTGCATGTCCAGAACAAATGTTCTAAAAGACCAGATATGACCTGATTCTCAATAAGAATAAACTAGGGAATAAACTTAGAAAATGCTTTTCCTTAATCATTGACTAAATGGTAAACCTAACTTTGCTTCACCGTCCATCACCTGTGTTCCGTTGTAAATGCCGACTTGAACGAGTCGAGTCTTCTGGTAGTTGAGGATGCTGTAATGGGCGTACTTCCTGTCCCCGTCGTCATTGAACTCCACGCGACCTGTGAGGCCCTCGGGGTATTTAGACGACATCAGAACCCTGGAGAGAGCAAATGAAAATGGTTATCTGTGTGAATGAGCACATGTGTCCAGACATCGGTGTAGTGTGTCACCTATTAGTTACGCTGCAGTGCATTTTATTGCGATTGGATTCGGCACAAGGCTCTCAGGCTAGTACATGTGGTAAAATTACTGAATATGATGAGTTGATATAAGCGATGATGTCTGCTGCTCTATTTTCCTTATTTATTCAACTTCTGAGAAACTGACCTAAGTGCGTCGGCCTAGATTTAATAAATTGTTGCAAGGAAGTGACAAATATAGAGTTTCTAGCTCATTCTGGAAAACATGATGACCTCACATGCAGTCTCCTGTTAAAATAGCTAAAAATCTGGAAACACTTTATGCCCAACACAACACCAAAGAAACTCCTTCAGAATGCAAATCTGTTCAATTGTTATCTGAAATGAATTGTTAATTGCAGCTTTAAGGTAATTGACGAAAAATTCAACAGAAACTGAGAAAACATATTTTATCATTTTAAAAACAGCTGTTTTTCATCGGGATTTAATGCGTCTGGCGAAAAGAAGTCTTAAAATGAGTTTACGTTATACATGTTTTTTTTCTGCCACTTTTCCAAAACATTTTCCTGGTTTAATAATTCTAAAATACAATTAAATGTCAAGAAATGAAAAAAACACATCTTGAAAACCATTAGATTGTTTGGCAAAACAGCTGAATCATGACTCAAACGTCAACAAACGATACATTTGAAATACGATCATGCCTTTTACATCAGTAAAGAAAAAGAAATGACCTAATTCCTCACGGCTGTATTCATGCTTACCGTTTAAAGAGCGGCCCTGTTTTCCAGATGTTGGTGTTGCCCACACATCCTTTTGGGGGTTCAGTGATATTCTCCTTCTCAAAGAGCTCCTGGATGGACTGAGCCACCACAGCCACCGCATCATTGATATGCGCCGACTCATTCTTCCCGTTGATGAGCTGGAGGCCGATCAGACCTGAGACCAGGCCAACAACAACAACACATAATCACTGACCAGAGCACAGACGGCCTCTCTGGATCCTTTTGCAATGCACAAAGTGTAAAAACTTATAGGGCTGCCGGTTTAGACATCCTGAATAAAGGTCATACATCAGCTGCATGATCCATCTTTGTTGCCCGTTAATCTAATAACCCGTCTCTAAATATCAACATCTTGTCATTTACGAAACGAGGCAGCTGAAAACATGGATCAATTTGACGATGTTGCCACTGATGACCTTTTCACAGCATGTGTAAAGAGTCCCTTGAAGTTGGATCTTTTTTTTTGTATTAACGCCCTACCAACTAAGGTTTGGGATTCAGCACAGGCAAAGCATTATTTGTGTTAAGGAAAAAAAGAACAAAAGGACCTAAATTTAATCCAACAACAATCCAACTTCAGCTAAGTTTTCTGATTGCAAGCAGGTCCGTCAGCCTTGCAGACTCCCGGAAGAAGCTGCAGTGGAGGTGGAAGAGACGGGACATGGACGGGACAACAAACGCTCTGCAGGGGTTGGTTGTGACAAGAGTGCCCGGGGGAAAAAGACGCTGGACGTTTGTGACCACAAAGTGATAAAATAATGTGAGTTACGAAAAAAAATCCAGGGAGTAGAGACAAGAAAGGCTGATGTAGCTTACCATTCTATCAGTTATGTGTTGAAACAACTTTGTAGTTCGTTAGAAACCAGGGCATTAATATGTCACAAATAGCACAATGATCTGACTTATCCGCAACTAAAAGTGTACCGTCGATACACGGCTCATTTAAACCTTTAAACACAAAGTGCTTAAACATTTAAATGCTTAACACACAACAGGCAGTTATACAGATAATCATGTAAAGCATCCATGGTTAATCCCTCTAATCCTGTATGTGTTATGATCGGCCTCTGAGTAGAGTCCAGGGTTAACTGGTGCATTCCCGCTGATCTCTCTGGATGAACATACCGTCTGGCGCCTCGCTCAGGGCTTTACCCGACATCTCCCGCTCGCCCACCAGCCACACGTACCCCGAGCCCGTCATGTTGAGGAAGCGGGCAGCCTTGTACACTGCAGCAGCGTCCTCCTCACTGGAGTTTGACAAAAGATTGTGTCTTTGTTTGGTTGACATCACAGTACGTGGAATGAAAGTGGAAATGTTGTGTTCATTTCTACGAGGGGGTTGATTAATGCATGTCCAACCAATTATAGCTGCATTTCATGACTTTTTTTGGTGAGGACTGTTTTTGTTTGGTATTTTTTTAACTCATTTATTGGATAACTGACAGGAAATGATAGGAGAGAGAGTGGGACATTAGACTTCTCTGCTGGAATTGAACCAGGAGCGTTCACCTGCTTCCAATTTTATCAGACGATTAAATCAGTTTTTATCGGGAGCATACATCTAAGGCTTTAGGTCTCTATCTGCCTCTTAGTTTGCTCAGTAGGCAGTTATCGTCCACTGATATGATGGATCACCACGGGAAGATTAAAAATGTTTCGGTGCGAGCTCTAGGGTTCATATTAATAACGACATGAGCAAAACAGGAAGTTAGGTGACCTATAAAAGAGGGACTAAGGAGGTTGGATGTCAGGTTGATTGATTGGTCATACAAGACGAGCACTGTTCGTGTTTCAAAACTCACCACGTGGACTTATTTAATTTAACTGGATTTAAGGTATATAACAAACACCTTTTTTATGAAAAAAGATGATATGATGATAATGAACATTTCATTTAAGACCTTGAATTTCTATTTAAGAAAATGTAAAAATTAGAATGATTAGTGTTTTAACAAAATAATTGGTGGTTTATGTAACTTATCAAGCACAAATACCAAAATATCCTCGGCTCCAACTATTTTTTCTATGTCTTATGTTAAAACTAACATACTTTTTAAGACATTCACTTTAAATGATCCAGCTTGCATTTGTTTTACCCACTTTTTTTTCTTGAATCTTATATATAGTTTTAATCAGGTTTGAGGTACCTATGCTACCTTCCCCAATGCTCCGTTGGGAGGAACGTATGCGTAGTTTGGGACAAAGCTCACCTGGCGGACAGGATGATGACGCGGGCCTCCAGCTCTTTGGCCTCCAGCAGCAGGGCAGTTAAGTTAGTGTCCTGGCTGAACTGGAGGACTTTCTCTGCCTGTGATCGGGGCATAAGAAAGGTCAAGCCAGCTACTTTCCCCTACCTTAGACACCATGCTGCCTCTTTACCTGTTTGCTTTCGAGCTTGGCCGATTTTGATTGAAAACGGGAGACAGATATAAAAAGGAAAGCGATCCAGGGGAACCGGCTCAACTAAAAAAAAAAAAAAAGCTTGGAGGGAAAAAAAACTTTTGCATTTGTCTGCATGCAAACTGAGGGTTATCAAGGCTCCAAAGAAGGACGTGCATGTGTTAGGTTGGGGGAAGAAGAAGGTCAATGCAACCAGTAACTAAAAACGGGTGAAGGGGGGTGAGGGGGACGTTTTCCCCCAACAAAAAAATTGCTGAAAACTAGGGAAGTGCTACAGAACAGGAGGAAGTAGCATCTGGGAAACGGTTTTGTCCCACACTACCGGTTCTCCACAAAGGAATGGACTTGCAAACTCTTTTTGTGTGTGAGTATGTGTGTTCTGAGTTCATGCATTCCTTTATTGAAGGAGAAAATGAAAATGATAAAAGCGGGGCGCTGTTCACTGACTCTTTTTCTTTTTCTTTAATGACCGAAAATTATAGATTTTTCATAACAAAATCATTCTTCATTTAAATCATAGGGAAATGTCTCAAAGTAAAAAATTAAAGAAAACACGTGCTACCAAGAGAGGAACATTTCTGGGTCGGCTGGTGACTGGATTGGGCTGGTTTCTAGTTGCTACGTTTGGAAAGTTGGTGGGCGGCGTGCATTGACCATGCAAATATACCTTAGGTCCTCGCTTGTTGTCATAGGACAGTTGGTCGAGGTTTTCATAGTTCCTTTTTTTATTCTGATGAGTAATGTGCACAGAGAAAATATGCAGACACAGAAAAATATTATAAACAGTTGAAAATGGAGGGCAGTAAAGCATTCCAACAAATCTCCACTTTTCTGCTTCAAATTAGGAGCTTTAACGGTGGGGCTTGCAAAACATCAGAGACGACCGCTGGATGGAAATGCTCTGGTTCCAGCAACAACCAATACACAAAACAGCATTAACATAGAACTTTGTACAAAAGAACGTTGGTGGTCAACACAGGCCATAGGATTCTCTACACCAAGAGAAGTATCTAGTATCTAAGAATGACTAGCTCATTAATGGTTTAACGGTATATGTAAACTATCAATAGGCTCGTCTACTGTACAATTATCTCTGGAGGTGACACAACATTTTTAACACATCCTACAGTAGATCCTAGCTGAAGACACAAACACAAGCTAATGATTCCCAACAGAAATGTATATTTAAGCTATAATCACAGCTGCATATTAGTGAATTAATAGAAAATAATTAAAAAATAAATTAGGTTTTTGGTCTCAGGTCTTCTCCCTGGTCAAATGTAATTGGCAGTGACGATGAGTTTGATGGAGGTCAATACACATGCTATATAATCTCCTGTTGGAATTAAGAAGTAGTGATGGGGGGAAATCAAAACAGCGTGACTAAGTATCGTCATATCGTAACGTGGGCCCCTGCTGAGTGACACCCCTATGTAAAGTATGTTGACATCCAATATACTATATTGTTCCCATCAGGTAGATAATATACTGTATTATACTACAAAGTCAAGATGTTATAGTACATACTGTGTGCAATTAGTATGTATGGTATTTAGTCACAGCACACAAAGTTCTCACTCTCAGGTCGGACTATATTCTGTCACCATAGTTGTCATCATTTTGGATTCCAGTCCCGTTCTGACGGAGGAGATACTGGGGTCCTGCCTGAGACTGGCAGCCATTTTGCAGGAAAACACATAATCTTTCTGCTTCGTGGGGTTCTTATGCGGCTGCCTGGCTCCACAGATCACACCTCAGTGCACCCCCTTCACAAAGGTGACTAAAAAGCAGACAAGCTGACAAGCAAATTCACATCAAACGCCATCCAGGAAGAACTCAAAACTAAACGGGTAATTGTTAAAACCTCAAACATGATAACAGAAAAGCAATCATGAGACTTTAACTGCCATGTAATTACCAAGTAAAACCATTTGATCATAAAACAAGCTTTTTTATTAATCTTCAGCATTTTATCTCCTTTCCACAAGTACCATCCAGCAGCACTGCGGACAAAAATAAAACACTTTGTCCTTTTTCTTTACCCAAGAGTGTTGCTGGCGCTCTATTTTAGTATCCTCACAGGCTTTAATATTTCATGTTCTGTTGCTCACGTTTGCACTCTAAACTCTCCTGTGTCCAGAGCCTGTGCTGGTTGTGACTGCGATCCCCCCGCGACGCTGTGACCTCACTAACGACTTGCCACAAGGATAAAAATAACGCTTCAATTGAACAACTTTATGCAGCACAACAAGGTGATTAGAGAGAACACCACTTCTCATTAAAGCATAATGTGAAAACACTGACGTCTGCCACATCCAAACTAACATCCGTCACCAAAAACCATCAAAGCTGTCGATGCATTTACAATTCAGCTGTTTAGCTTATTGTCTTACAAGCACACGTCCAATGAAAGAGCTAGTACAGGTTTCATTATCCAGCTCATGTGGTGACATACACATGGCATGTCAGAGCTAAGCCGAGAAAATAGCTACGTAGCTATGCAGGGATGTGTCCGAAATTGTCCGAAATGTTTGGTTCTTCTGCTTGTTTTCTTGTCATTTTATCATTTAAAGGTGAAATAAGTAAGGTCGTTATAGCGGCAAAAAGACAATCTTCAAATATGCTTAGCTGCGAAACATACGAGTTTTGATATCTACTGGTACTATAATAATAATAATAATAACTTGAATTTATATAGCACCTTTCATAACCTCAAGGTCTATACTATATTATTTTATAAGATTTAGGTGAGCATTTCAAGGTTGTTATATTCGTTTTCTTTAAACTGTATATGTATTTCTAATAGCATGACACTTAGACAGATATTTTTATTTTCTTATTGTGAACTTATCCCATATAAAGACCAAAACAAACATTATTTTGTATTCTTCTATCCAGACTTTTCAAATTCAGAGTTTGGCACTAACTAAAATTGGTTCTTATTTAAGAGGCTAATCTTTTAAAACTTGTCAAACATATATAGTTCATTTTAAATAAAAAGGCTCATTCCTTTCCTAGCTGGGCTTTGTAGTTTTTAACAAATGCCACTTACAATAGAAGGAAATTGACATTTGTTGGGGACTATTTTCAGCTGCGGATTAATACACGTTTGGTGCTCTAGTGAGAATTTAACGGCAGCAGCACATTCCATGTGGGTTCAACTCAATATAAATACAGTGTGTGCTCATTGTAATTAAGGAACACAGTGTGACTTCCTGTTATGTTTTAAATGGAGATCTATGGAATAAGATATAATATCAAATACAAAGGAATAGGAATCATTAGGCTTTGAAAGCAGGACAATAGGATCAGTATGAGATATTTGTATGGGATTGCTTTATAGCACAACAAAATATAATAGCCCTCTGAGTTTGACCAGGCTTTTAGTGTAATTATGGCTGCACACTTTTGGCAGAAATTCTTACAATAAATCCTTCTTATGGTGCCAAATTAGCTTGAGCTGGCCCTGCAGTAATGACTAAATAGATGTCTAATTAAATACAAGTAGTAGAGAGAGTTCCCTACGTATTATGAGTTTGAATGGGACGTACAGATGGGTTCATTTTGAGATCCAAACTCATAAAAAGCAATCAAAGGAACTTCCTGGATTGTCGTCGAGGGCTTTTAGTACACAGATTTAATCTCAATAGTGCAGGATGTGAGTATCATCTAGGTTCAAAAGTATAATTGATTTAACTGCAGGGATTTGGTTGTACACGCCAACTAAACGTTTGAAACCTTTTCCTATTGGTGAATCAATCAATCACTTAATTTAAGTAGCTTTCGCTTTGGCTGTGGTTGCTTCTGTGAATAACCCCGGGTGTGTGTCATTTCCAGCGTCTCTTCAGCTTCTGATTTAATTAAATCTCAGAATCAGGACTCATTTCATTCTGAACACACAATTACAGCAATGTGCCCCAGAGAGGGACAGGCATCAGAGAGGGAAAAGAGAAAAAAGGGTTAGGGTCCCAAGGTACCTTCGTCTTATTCAAAGGATGAAATAGATGGCAGTTGTTTTTTCCCTTCTTTCGCTATCGTTCTATGTTCCTAAAGGGCACACATCATCGCGGTCTCAAGTCTGTTTTGGCTCAAAGACGATGATCAGCATTTCAGTGACCCACATACACAGCTCTGAGCTACACTTCAAATGGATACATCAGCGCTATCTGAAAAGGCGAGAACAATCCCCCGTATCATGTGAACACGAGCTTACAGGGTGCAATAAACAAAGAGCCTCTGTGCACAATAATGAAGCCGGCCATTCATCACGCTCTGAGAGGAAACACCTGACTTCCGCCACGGCCCCCGATTACACACTTCAGTCTGTGATGGTTTGCAAGGCCCCACATTAAAGTCCGCTATTTGGCTCCCAAATGTGGATAGACACAGGATAATTTGGACTATGACGAAAAGCAACGTGAAGATGAGCAAATAAACGTACAAACTTTTGTCAGATTAGACCACATTAGACGCTGTTGATGTCTCTAGGAATGTTAGCCAATGTTTACACAATGGTGAGAAAGAGATATGGCCACATAACAGAAAGGAAAACAGTTACATAGAAGACCTCTTGAGGTTTAAAAACCTTAAACACTCGCGCGCTCACACACTCTTTCAGGGAGCCTGGGAGCCGGAGCATCTCACCTTTGTTTCTCTCTCCTCCAGCAGGGTCTCCAGCCTCTTTTGAGCAGCGCGCCCCTCGTGGTCATCGCTCACTATCAGGATGATGTGGTTCCAGTTGAACTCTCGCATCAAGTCGAACCACACGTGCGCCTGGTGGGAGTACGGAGGGACTGTCCGCAGAAAGGACAGGTGGATACTCTGTGGAGCAGGCAGGGGAGATTAACATTGTGGAGTTTTACACAACAGCTTTTAATGCCTGACTCCAACCATCGCCCAAGAGTGTCTCAAATCCATCCTACCATCTTGTCAGGACCAAGAAAAATAAAGACTAAAGAGCAAAAGGATAAGGGCGAATGGTTGGGCCATTAAGATATCAGACTCAACTACATGCATGGGAGTCTTATTGTTCGTCTATTGGTCCAAGTTTGTCTCTTCATACCATGACCATTAGTCATTCCCTAACATTCAAGAAACCGTCAGTTAAATCCAAACCTGTTTTTCTAACCCTAAACGCCAACCCTAGTCCTGAACACGCCAGTCTTTATTTGGAGTTGCTACGACCAATAAGATGCAGACTTGGTAAAGGGGAACTGAATTTGGTTTGAATCCACTTATGCCAGTCATGACCAAGTCATTTTGTGCCTAGGCCTTACCAAACCTCAACCATAGCATTGTAACGTCATATCATGTCATGTCGTCAAACCATGTCCATCACTTGGTGGGAGACCTAAAACGCAGACTAAGAGTCTTATCAGGTTGGACCTAACTAATGCTCTTGGCTGACATATGGGTGTAAATGGGTGTCCACATCATTTTGGGAATGTGGTGTACTTTAATTACTGTACACTAACAAAACAAAGACATACAATACGTTGGAAGTTTAAATGTCTGCGGCTGCTTTTCTTTCTAGAAAAAGGGATACTATGCATCAATATTAAAGACAGTAAAATAAATCACTGCATTTAATGCCTTTGATATCATTTAACCTACAAGAGTAGCAGAGATGTCAATCAAATTGAGTTATTAAAGTCCTCGACGTCTTTCTCATAACATTGCTTTAAAGTTTCATTTCAGTGGCATGTGCTCCATAAAAACATAACTCAGGTCAAGCGCATTATTAATGGCGCTCTTTCAATTTTCAGCAGGAAACCCATTTAATCACAGCTCCCCTAATGGACAGTGATGGGACGTTTAATCTAGAAGGCTTTTGAAGCCGCCCCACGGGAGCTCCTCACTCGCTCACTCTGCGTTCACTCCCCGCCTGTTTTCCTCTCCCTCTATCTCCCTTCAGATCTCATCCATCACTCACCTTGTCGGAGTAGATGGACATGCGGGTGGTGAGCCCCACCACGGGGATGCGGTAGAAGCCCGCAGTGTAGGAGACAGGCGTTGGAGTGAGGTGGTCATTGGACTGGGGAGGGTGACTCACCAGGATAGCGTAGACCTGCAGAGGCACAGAAGAAGAACACTGTTATTTAGAGCAAATGGTAGCACCACTACTCTTACTCGAAATAAATCGTAAGGAATCCGATTCAGACTTTTCTTTATTTTTTCTCTTGCTTTGATGGTTTCCCATGTTTGCCGACAATAACATGAACATCTTATCATATTTAAAGATTCTTCAAACACAACCTGTACAAGAACACACATACTGTATGGGAAGTACAACATGTCTCTTCTTGGTAAATTAACATTTCTGGCATGAAACCACTGTAAAAAATCAACGCTAAATTCATGACCCTTTTTGTTGGAGGCTGTACCAACACAATGCACACAAGATGCCATGTGTTTGATTAACCTGACAGTATTTGCTATGCACACTTGGAGGATGACTGTATAATAATAACCTTATTAAAAGTTCCTTTCTGAGCCACTGAATTCTTAATTTTAATTTGGTTAGAAGTGGAATGAACGCTCAAATATTTCAAGAAATACACTGTGTAAGAAATGAATTTTTTAAGGCAGTGCCTCGAGATTAAGTACATATGCAAGAGTCACTTTAATTATTTAGTCAAAATATCACACACTGATTGCCGTGCTGAATGTAGGGCATCCGGGGCCCCTCAGCATCTGTCCGCCTTGCATGGTCTGTAATCCAGTCTTGGCAAAAAACATCTGTCCTTCTACTTCAAGTTTGATTACATTTGTGGTGCGCACTTTGAATAGTAGTTTGAATAGTTGGCTTGTTTGTGCGCAGGCATGGATTTCTGGATATGAGCAGCCCGTATGGTTGGGTCAAAAATGAGGTCTATCTTCCAAAGACTGCTCGCAGGCATCTACTCCTCCATCTGCCACAGACTTCCCTTCTCAGTAACTGTGTTCGCCCACAAGCCAAAAGCTCTTATCATGAAGCCTTCCATTGACCTTCTGTCTTATTATTGTGACTACTGTGTGGATTACAAGAGAGGCGTGTTGCACAACTGAAGCATCGTTGGTGCAATTTTTTCAGCCTTACGTGTGCTTATAGTTTGGAGACTAAGTGGGACAGTATTATTCCACAAGCCTGTATCAATTAGAGGCATTACACTGAGTGGAGAAGCACAAGGACATGAAAGCAGCACTGAAGCTGTGGGTGTTTTTTTTTCTTGTTGTTAAGCCTCATTATGTGTGTGGGAGAAACAAGAGCGAGAGCGAGTGGGACTTGACGCCCCAACGTGCTGTGACATAACGCAGGCGCTTTTTAAGAGCCATGTTGAGCATCACTCATCATACATTATGAAATATGAGTTGTTTGTTAGATCTGCAGCACACAAAGTATGACTCTTTGCTGCTTGTGTGTACTTTTTTAAACGGGAATCACATAGTCCAAGAATAAAAGAACATTTGTTCATATCATACACTGCCAGGAGACAAACATCTAGAAAGTGTCAGCCTCCCCCTGCAAGAGCGATGTTATGGAGCACATACAGTAGTGGAGTGGTTCATTGTAATATGACGTATACTGCACATTTTCACTCCTCACTGGTTCCTTTGCAGTTCAGTAGATCTGCAGCTGTGTGTCCGGGAAACACACACTTGCCCTCTCATCCGAGATATGCCCCGAACCCAAAGCCTATTTCTGGATGTCTGTGTGACAGATGGGTGTGTGGGGACTTCACTGTATTAGCACTAAACACAAAGAGGACTCATGTGTACGTAGAGTGAGTGCCAAATTGGATAAATGACAGGCCTGTGGTAATATGGGATGATTTCTAGTGCGCTGATGCTGAATGGACATCTAGTCTGCTCCTGTAAGGATGAATAGACAGCTGGTTCAGAGCTCTAAACTGATTATGACAAACAATCTTTTTTTGTTGGAGTAGCCCTTACTTGAATAAATAATAGCAACTTTCTATTGCAAGGTTTGGTTCTTCCAAAACACTAAACAAATAACCAGATTTGCAGTTGTGTGGAGGTGTGCATGGATCATATGTAACCTATGACTCAGATGATTTGCCTAAGCAACCATGCGTGCAGAGGTGGCAGTGAGAGTATACCTGACTGGAGATGAGGTCCTCGCACACGGACAGAGCCATCTGGATGGCGTTGGGCTTGTGCGTGACGGAGATGGCAGTCAGCTTGAATTTATCTCTTCCATAAACCTGGTTGGCCTGGGTCACGGCATCTTTGAAGACCTGCTCGTATCTCTTCTGGCTCAGCACTGCCCCGATGTTCACGATCTTCGGCTCACAGCCGGCCCGCGCGCAGGAGCACCAGAAGAGCACCGCCAACAGAAACAGACGCATCGTGTGGACCACCAGCGAACAGCCTCTCAGTGCAGCCCGGTCGCTTTTCTCCCCGGTGGCGGGTCGGCTCCACCAGCTTCTGGACGGAGGCACGGCTCACCCCGTGCAATGCACGATCCAGGTGGGCGGTGGGCGGTGAGAGCGAGGGGTGGGGTGGGGGAGGGCCAGAAAAGGTAGGAGAAGACAACAAAAATAAAAGATGGATTTATGTGCAATGCGGAGGAATGTGCATGCTCATTTTAAGAGCAGCCTGTCAACTGTGGACATCCAAACCGCATTGTCCATCTTTCTTTTTTTTTGTGCTCTCCTCTGCAGAACCGTTTTTTTTTTTTTGCAGAAATATTTAAATCATCCTCCACGCGGCTTCTCCTCCGGGGCTTGAGTCGCTCCTCCAGCCGCTGCTCGGTGCGCTGTGTGCGGACTGATCAGCGCGATGCGTCGCTGGCTGCTCGCTCCGAACTGAGCAGGCTGCTGTCCTTGGTGCTGACAGCTGTGTGTGCGCGCCGTGGTGCTATACTGCGCGCTCCCGTCGTATCTGCTCCAGCACTCCTGGTTTTTGCGCGTTGGCGTGCTGCTGTTGCTGCTGAAGATGATGATGACGATGATGATGATGCGGGAGTTGAAGCTGATCGTATGAAAAATAAATGAACATAGGCTACTTGTATAAAAACCACTCGACCACGAAGCTAGTCATAACAAGACATGGAAGGGGAGATGATAATAATGTGTCATACCTGCAGGGCGTGGATTGCCTGCTAAATTAACTCATTCATTTGTAGGCTTTGTTAATGCGGCTGATTTTGACTTGATAGCCGGATCACACTAGAGCAGATGTAGGGAGGAGGGAGGGGTGTTAATACAAATTTAGCAGGTTTCAGGTCAGATGTAAGCAGGGCTTTTATTAGTTAGTTTTTCATCCAAACTGGAAGCAGAGTCGGATTTGTCGCGTAGCTCTCTCTGCGTAAAGTGGACCGCACTCGTTCCCGGATGGCTCATTACGCAGCATGTCAGGGACAGTTGTCACATGTAATCATGTGTCTGGAGTAAAATCAGCCTATGTTGTTATCAATATCCATATCTGCGTTTTTGGAGCCAGTTTGGAGCATCCCTGCAGAGACAGAGCTTGCATGAGCAGAATCAACCTCCTGGTTACCTAGGAAACAAGATTTCGCACACGCGCACACACACAAAGGGTGTCTTTACACGGAGGAAACATTCCCTGACAAGCCGACAGAGAGTTTATTCATCACAGCAGGAGACGTTAAAAAACATGAAAAAACAAACGAGCACAGCCAGAGTCATTCCGTGAACTACTCTAACAGCAGTTTAGATCATTTTGATTATAAATAGTCAAGAATCTGGACATTTATCCTCAAGGGATTTGGTGTTGTGTGTTTATTTCGACTGATCTCAAATCATTCCACTGAAGAGGAAGGTGTTTAAGAAATGAGGACACTGTCAAGACATCGAACAGTGTTCTGAATTATAAATCACACAGCACTGGTGTGTGTGTGTGTGTGTGTGTGTGTGTGTGTGTGTGTGTGTGTGTGTGTGTGTGTGTGTGTGTGTGTGTGTGTGTGTGTGTGTGTGTGTGTGTGTGTGTGTGTGTGTGTGTGTGTGTGTGTGTGTGTGTGTGTGTGTGTGTGTGTGTGTGGGTGTGTGTGTGTGTGGGTGTGTGTGTGTGTGTGGTGTGTGTGTGTGTGTGTGTGGCACTGAGCTGATAAATTAATCACAAGGATGAAGGACCCAACAGTCGTCAGCTGCTGGCTGTGTGCTCCCATAATGAGCCTGTCTCTGTGATTAACTGAGCTTTTTTGACTTGACACAACGGAAATGTGATTTATGTGCACTATTAAGTCCATAAGTCTAGCTGGTAAATAAAACCTCACTTTGCTTTTAATATTCTTCAACATTTTCCCTCCATGACAGGCACTTAACACATAATTTCTTTAAGTACAAACACCCATGTACAAGTAAAAACAAAACAGGCTCTAAATACGTGAATGGACACAGGAAATGCTTGTATTTCAACATGATCCTTAAAGCAGCACTGTGATGTCATCTCAACATAACAGTTTTTCCTTTTCAAATTAAATTGTGTTTACTTGACCTGATTTCCAGATTCATCATAGAAAACATATGCTCTCAAATCAAATCAAATCAAATCAGGTTTTATTTATATAGCACATTTAAAAGCGATTTTTGGTCGAGCCAAAGTGCTGTACATGTACTGTAATAAAAACACATTACTACAAATCACAATAAACGACAATAAATTACAACAGATATATCTTAAAAAACAAAATAAAAATAAAACACACGGAAAAGTCAGGAGTCGTGCTCCGCTCTAACTAGAAAGCCAGAGAGAAGAAGTGTGTTTTTAGTTTTGATTTAAAAACCCCTAGGGTCTGGGCCGACCTCACATGGAGGGGCAGAGTGTTCCAGAGCCTAGGGCCAGCTGCTGCGAAGGCTCGGTGCCCTCGGGTTTTTAGCCTGGTCTTGGGCACTACCAGCAGCAGCTGGTCAGCAGACCTTAAAGCTCTGGCTGGGGTGTAGCGCTGGAGCAGTTCAGCTATATAGGCCGGAGCCAGCCCATTTAGTGCTTTAAAAACAAATAAAAGGATTTTAAAATCAATTCTGAACCGAAGTGGAAGCCAGTGCAGTGAGGCCAGAATAGGGGTGATGTGGTCGCGCTTTTTGTGGCCAGTCAGCAAACGTGCAGCAGCGTTTTGGACTAGCTGTAAGCGTTTGATTGAGGCCTGGTCCATACCCACATACAGAGCGTTACAATAGTCTAGTCTCGAGGTTACAAAGGCGTTAATAACCCTTTCTAAGTCTTTAAAAGATAAATACGACTTGGTTTTGGCCAATAGTCTTATTTTAAAAAAGCAGGATTTTACTACGGTGCTGACCTGCTTGTCGAATTTAAAAGTGCTGGTGAAGGTCACTCCAAGGTTCATGACCGAGGGGAGGATGTTTTTTTTTATAGAGCCCAGAATATCAACCGGAGAGGCTGGAGGTTGCGGTCCAAAAAAGATGACCTCGGTCTTGCTCTCGTTGAGGTTGAGGACGTTTTTGCTCAGCCAGGATTTTATCTCTGCTAAGCAGTCCATCAGCTGCTGTAGTGAGTGTGTGACATTTGCTTTGAGAGGCAGATAGATCTGTACATCGTCGGCGTAGCAGTGGAAGGGAATGTTATGTTTTGTGAGTATTGAACCTAGGGGCAGTATGTACAGTAGAAAAAGGATGGGGCCCAGAATCGAGCCTTGGGGAACCCCACAGGTAAGAGGGGCTTTGGCAGAGGAGAAGGCACCTAGCTGTACCGAGAAGCTACGGTCTGTCAGGTAGGACCTGAACCAGGCAGAGCCTGTGATGCCAGCGGACTGTTCAAGCCGTGACAGCAGGATGCTATGGTCCACAGTGTCAAAGGCAGCTGTCAGGTCTAACAGCACCAAGACAGCTGGGCTACCTGAGTCGGCGGCTAGGAGCAGATCATTAAAAACTCTTAAAAGGGCTGTTTCAGTGCTGTGCATGGGTTTGAAGCCAGACTGAAACTTTTCATGGATTCCATGCGTGGTTAAAAAAGACTGCAGCTGGGCGTAGACTACTCGCTCCAGGGCTTTTGATAAAAAAGGTAGCTGTGAGATGGGCCTAAAATTTGCGAGAATGGAGGGGTCGAGATTTTTCTTTTTAAGGAGTGGCTTAACCACGGCATGTTTGAAGGCAGCTGGGACACATCCTGAGGTAAGAGAGGTGTTGAAAAGTAATAAAATACTTGCTCCAACTGAATCAAAAACATCTCTGAGAAGGCGAGAGGGAATGCTGTCTGAGGTGCAGTTTGTCGGCCGCAGGTGCTTGACTACATCCGAGAGAGCAGAGAGGGATACAGGGTCAAAGTGGTCGAGGACAGCAGGGCACAGAAAAGGAGCAGGATCTGGGGTAGCACTAGTGTGGGCTAGCCTAAGAGCAGATACCTTTTCAATAAAAAATGTAAGAAACTTATCACAGAGAGTAGTCGATGGGACAATAGAAGAAACATCACAGGGATTAATGATAGAGTTGAGGACATTAAAAAGAACCTGAGGTTTATGGCTGTTTTTGGAGATTAAAGAGAGAAATGTGCTCTGTTTTGGCTGCTTTGACTGCCGTCTGGTAGTCGGAAAGGCAAGCACGAAGGATTTCTAGGGAGACATGGAGTTTATCCTTTTTCCATTTTCTCTCTGCACACCTGCAAGCGCGTCTGAGAGCACGAGTACAGTCATTGAGCCACGGCTCTGAGAGAACTTTGGTGCGTCTAAGCGTAAAAGGAGCAACAGAATCCAGTATTAGTGTGCATGTCGAATCAAACATGGAGATAAGCTCATCAGCATTAAAAGCACAGTTCACATCTAATTTACAGATCGGAGAAGCATTAAAAACATCAGAGAACTGTGAGGCAGTCAAGGGGTTAATCGAACGCAGACGACGCGCCGGGGCACGTGAGTCGACTCCTGCGGAAGGGATGTAGGTTGTAAACAGAACCGGTAAATGGTCTGAGATACGCGTTGCTGCACATATTTCATCCACAGATACAGACAGTCCAAACGATAATACTAAGTCCAAAGTGTGTCCTTTTTCGTGTGTTGGGCCAGCCACGGACTGAACTAGACCAAAGGAATCAAGGAGATTTAAAAAGTCCCTAACCAGAGGTTTGGACTCGCAACACACATGGACATTGAAGTCTCCGGAGATCAAAACACGATCATATTTCACCATGATCCCGGACAGAAAGTCAGAAAAGTCATTTATGAAATCCTTATTACACTTTGGCGGACGATACACGACTGCGCAGAGTATAGGCGAGGCCGGGTTCAGTTCAAAAAGCTGCAACTCAAAGCTGGCATAGCTAGTTACAGGGTGAAGCAATCGGCATTGGAGGTTAGCTCTAAACACTGATGCTATGCCCCCACCATGGCCAATGGCACGGGGGGAGCTGAAGAATGTCTGTATTGGGTCCATGTTGATCCCTATTTGACAAAAGTATTCATACATTTAAGTCAGGTATAACACAATATTAATTCTGCTTGGTTAGGTCTGTGTATGTGTGACATGTCTCCATGCTTTAATGTACAAAAGCACCCTCTGTCTGAAACCAGAGCCCAGTCTGCTCTGATTGGTTAGCTGGCCGGCTCTGTTGTAATTGTTGAATAGTTTAGAGATGTCCCGCCCCTTAGCCTATCACTTACAATGTGCTGGAGCGCTGGCCAATAGAAGTGAAGTGCTACATAGTGATGTAAGTATACAGAAATTATGAGGGAGTCCAATGAAGTGTGCTCACAACAAATGTATACAAACCATTGCTGTCTAATGAATGTATCTAGAAATCTCTAAAATGAAAACCTTTCATGACAGAAGAAAGAGATAAAACCAACATGGAAAAAGAAAAGCAAAAACATGGAATTGCGAACATCACTGCCCCAACTCTCAAAATCAACAAATACAAAAAGAATGAAAGCAAAGGAGAAAAAAACCCTGAAGGCAACACAACACTAATATACTTTTAAAAGGGAATAAACATTTCAAAGCCATTATGTAACAGCGCCAAAGCAATG